AGAAGCTAATAAAACAGAGATTTACCTTATAGTCTTGGCCTACCCACGGGACCTGGTGATCTCAGGGTTAGGTAATGCAGGTGGGATTGATGCCTGAGTGCTTAGGACAGGGGACAGTAGAATGGGACTAGAGGACAGTGGAATGGGCCTGGTAAGGTTTGATTGGAGGAAAGAAGAAATTCCAGGGATCCCAGAGTCCCTCCTCAGTCAGCAGTCACTTGATTCTCATTCTTGTTTGTGCAGTTGCCTGAAGCAGAAATTCCCACTGTATTTATCAAATTCACTACTCTACCCTGCATACAACTACTATACTAATCTGCATACTCTGCTTTTACCAGTCCTTGCCTGCCCACGTACATGCCCCCTTTGCAGCCTTCATTTCAGGGCCCCCTACTGAAACAGGAGGGTCTTGTCCTGCTAGTCTAACAACCCCTGACTGGCCTCTCACTTCCTGTTATTCCCTTACTGCTTGGATCTCCTCTACTTCCTAGTTTCTACTCTTTCAATTCTGGAAACTTTTAAAGCCCACCACAAGGTCATCTGCCTGCAGATACCTGTTCAAGACTCTGGCCTACAGAGTCCTCTCTTCAAGGACTTGAGGACTCACTTTTTGCCACAGGTCAGCGCATCTGCAGTGGAGGGCTGTGCAGTCTAACACTTGAGTCACTCAGGTTTTTCTATGTTTGTCTCTTGATTCTTTGATTGGGCTTTAAATTGTTGAGGACAGAGTCTAGCTTGGTTTATGTTTATTTTTTGCTTTTGGTCTGGACCAATGTACTAAGTAGATCCTCAGGAAAACATTATTTGGTTCATCTTCCAACATAAAATGAAATGTTTGTTGAAAATACATAGACATATATGCATCAATATATGTTATTAGTGATCATTTTTTTAAATGAAATTTATTCTTTTTTAAAAAAACAAGGGATAGATACAAGGGTATGTGGAAAAAGGGGAAAATTTGTGCACTGTTGATAGGATTTAAACTGCAGCAACCATTATAGAAAATACTATGGAGGTTTGTTAAAAAAAAAAAAACTAAAATAGAGCAATCCCATTTTAGGATATATATATCCCCCCCCCAAAAAAAATATATATAATGTATATATTTGATATATATATATATAAAGGAAATGAAAACATTATGTCAAAGAGATATTTATACCCTTCCCGATGTTCACAGCAGTATTTTTTACAACAGTCAAGACATGGAAACAAACTAAGAGTTCATTGACAGGTGTATAGAGAATTGTGTGTGTATTTGTGCGTGTGTGAGAGAGAGAAAGAAAGAAAGAGAGAGAGAAATGGAATATTATTCATCTACAAAAGGAAATCCTGCCATTTGTGACAATGTGGATGGACCTTGGAGGGCATTATGTTAAGTGAAATAACTCAGAAAAAGACAAATACTACATGGTATCACTTACATGTGGACTCTAGACAAACAACCAAACTCAAAAAAGGAGATCAGATTTATGGTTACCAGAGGTGAGGTATTGCAGGAGGTAGAGGGAATTGGAGGAAGGTGGTCAAAAGAGAAACCTCAGCTATAAGATAAATAAGCACTAGGGGGCCTCCCTGGTGGCGCAGCGGTTGAGCCCTGGGTTGCGAAGCTGGCCTCTGTGGCGCCGGTTCGATCCCCGGCTGCTCCCCGGCCACCAGAGGAGGGTCCCACATGGCACGCAGACCTCTCCTGCCGCCCGCTGCTCCCCTCAGCAGTGTACTTCGGTCCTTCTGCCTGCTCTGCTCCCCGCTCTGGCTCTGGTGAATTCTCTCACCCTCCCGCGCTTCTGACTGTGCCCAGTGCATGTATAAACAAAACAAACAAACAAATAAATAAATAAATAAAACATGCCTCTATTTAAAAAATAAATAAATAAATAAATGAGCACTAGGGATGTAATGTGTACACCATAATGACTAAATTGTTGTATTGTGTATTTGGAATTTAAAAGATCTTAAGAATTTTTCATCACAATGAAAAATAATTTTGTGTCTATATGAGGTGACGGTTGTTATCTAAACTTGTAATCATTTCAGCATATATGTAAGTTAAGTCATTTATGCTGTACACTTTAAATTTACAAAGGGCTATCTGTCAATAATATCAATAAAACTGAGGGAAAAACAAGGTGGAAAATTAAGCTTCAGTTATTGCAAATACACCCACGGGCTTTTGTTTTTACTTCATTTTTATGTTAATTTTTAAAGCTTCTTAAGATAATTTCAGATTCATAGGAAGTTTCAAAAATAATAGCGGCATTACTATAAAATTCACACAATTTCCCCCCAACTGCTGTAACTAGAGTACAATATCAAAACCAGGAACTTGACGTTGGTATAATATGCCTGTAGTTCTTTGCCATTTTATCACCTGTGCAGATCTACGTAACCACCACCACAATTGAGATAGAGAACTATTACAACACCTTGACCTACTGTGTGACTACCTCTTTCTAGAACACCCTCTCCCTCCCAGACTGTCCCTAATCCCTGACAACTGCTAATCTATTTTCCATCTCTATAATTTTGGTAATTTCAAGTAGAAATTCACTTTAATATACATAAGTGTTTGGGGAGCATCTCTTTTGTAGGTATTTTTGGGTGAGTGCTGTCAATTTAACATTGTGTATAACTTACTTGAGTTTTACTTGTGTAACATTACCAGTCTTGTGGGGTGGAGAAACCTTTCTTCCCTTTCAGTCTCTTTACTCTCCCTGTTTATAATTTAACTGCCTTAACTATTTCCTCTGCGTAAATTGAGAGCCATGTGGACAAGGTGTGAGTATGTAGGACAGGGGGCGCTGGACTGGACCTGGTAGTCTTTGATCTTTTGAAGAAAGAGGAAATTGTGGTAACTGCAGAGTCCCTCCTCCCAGCCAGCAGTCATTTCATTTCTCCTTTTCATGTGTGAAATTGCTTGAAGCAGAAATTACCACCGTGCTTATCAACTTCCCCAATCTATGCTATACACAAGCAATAAGCAATATTTTGCTTAAACCATCAGATAGAATTTAGAAAACTCAAGAGAAGGAAAATTTATTGTATTAACCCATATTTTTACTCTATTGCTCTCCCGTTTTTGGTGTTTCAAGATTCCTTTTTTGCTAATTTATTTCAGTTTACTTATCTTTCAGGGTAAGTCTCCTCTTGACAAATTCTCATAATTTATCTTCCTTGAGAACATCTTCACTATTGATTTTCACAGGGTATAGCATGTCAAATTGACAGTTTCTTTTAGCGCTTGCAAAATATGCCACTTCCCTCTGATCTTCGTGACTTCTGATAAGAAATTTGATAATCAATTTTTTTTTCCCATTGTAAAGAACATGTCATTTCTCTCTGACTATTTTTTCTTTTTAAGATTTATTTATTTATGCATACAAGAGCTGGGGTACAGGCTAGAGATGTGGTGGGGTGAGAGGATTCACCAGAGACAGAGTGGGGAACAGAACCGGCAGATTGACTGAAGTGCACTGCTGAGGGGAGCAGCAGGCAAGTCAGAAGTCTGCTGCACCATGTGGGTTGCTCCCTGGCCGGCCGGGGATCGAACTGGTGCTGCAGAGACTGCGGATTGCTTCACAGTGTGGTGCCTAACCCCTTGCGCCACCAGGGAAGCCCCTCTCTCTGACTACCTTTCAGATCTTTTCTGTCCTTAGTTTTCACAAGTTTGATTATCTTGGCATGGATTTTTTAATTACTCTACTTGGGATTTAACCAGCTTCTTTGTCTTACTTGAAAAATGTTCAGCCATATTTACTTAAGTGCTTTTTAAACTTTCCCTTATTTTGCCTCTCTTTTGGGACTCTAATTATATAAATATTAGATCTTTGCTTATAATATCACAAATTCCTGATATTCTGTTAATTTTTTTTTTTAGTCTCTTCTCTTTCTATGGTTCAGGTTGGGTGATTTCAATTCTTCTGTTTTTAAGTTCACTGTTTCTTTCCTTTGTCCTCTCCATTTTACTCTAGAATCTGTCCAGTGAGTTTTTATTTCACACTTTTTTCAGTTCTGAAATTTTGATTTTTCTTCATCTCTTCTATTTCTTTGTTGATACTATTTTTTAATTTGCTTCAAGCATCTTTGTAATTGTTCACTGAAGCACTTTTATACAGGTTGCTTTAAAATCTTGTCAGATGGGCCTCCCCGGTGGCGCAGCGGTTGAGCGCTGGGTTGCAAAGCTGCCCGCAGCCTCTGCAGCGCCAGTTCGATCCCCGGCTGCTCCCCGGCCACCAGAGGAGGGTCCCACATGGCGCGCAGACCTCTCCTGCCGCCCGCTGCTCCCCTCAGCAGTGTACTTCGGTCCTTCTGCCTCCTCTGCTCCCTGCTCTGGCTCTGGTGAATTCTCTCACCCTCCCGCGCTTCTGACTGTACCCAGTGCTTGTATAAATAAATAAATAAATCTTTTAAAAAAAAAAAAAATAAAATAAAATAAAATAAAATCTTGTCAGATAATTTAAACACCTCTGACTTGGTATTGAGATCTATTGATAGTAGATGCCACTCACTCAAGTTGAGATTTTCCTGGTTCCTACTAGAGAGAGCGATTTCAATCCTGGACATTTTGAGTATTATGAAAATTTGGATCTTATTTAAACCTGTTTTAGTAGACCTTCTCTGACACCACCAATGATGTCAGGTAGAAGTCAAAATTCAGGTTCCCTACACAGCCTCTGTTGACATTCTCAGAAAGGGGATGAATGACCCAGTTGCTGCTGGGCCAGGGTGGGGACTCGGGCTGCCCACTGAACCTCTGGTGATCACACCCTGGATGGGAGGGGGAAGGATGCTTTTTCTCTCCTGAAGGAGCACAGGGCTGCCCGCTGTAGTGAAAATCTTGACTCTCTACTAGGCCTCCCCTGACACTACCCTGGCAGGTAGAGGTGAAGGCTAGATTTCCCATTTGGCTTGCCTGCAGGGTATAGGCGGGGATTATTTTTTTCTGTGGGTTGGCTGGAGTAGAGTGGTCTAATAGTTTTCTTTTTTGCTAAGCTGCCCTTTACTGGTCCTTTGGCTAGAAAGAACAGGATTTCTTTCTTTCCTTCCTCCCTCCTCCCCTTCCTTTCCTCTCTTCTGCTTCATTTCCTTCCAGACACAAAAGAAAGCTGCTGCTCCAAAGTAGAGAACTCTTTATTATAAACCAGGATCCAGAAGGATAAATGACAGGCATTTCCCCGCTCTCTTTGAAATTTTCATAACTCATACAGAACAGATGTGAGAGATACTTTCTTGAAATTATTTTATAAAGTACTCTCCAGTGTCAGGGTGGGTGCATGGTAGCTAATCATGCTGAGGGGGCCTCCAGTGCCTCTGGGACCCTGAGGGAAGTTGCCTGAGGACAAGCTGGATGTAGAGCAGAGAAAACATTTTCTGTTAGATTTAGGGTCCTGGGGTCTGCCCTGGGACACAGACACCTGAGACTGTGACATTCTTTCTCAGAGGGAGAGTATGAGAGTAATGCATAAACCCCCTGGAGGCAAAAACAGCTGTGTCTGCAGTTTACTTGCTGTGAGTTCTGAGTATTTCTTTCCCAAGGCAAAAGGGAAGTGTAAATGCCATTGAAGGTATAAATGCTGGCATGTTAAAAAGAGAACAGGAATACAAGAGTGCTCATTTTTGCCCAGGGTTACCCCCCCCCCCGCCCCCTGCCCAAATGGTGGGACATTCTGTCCCTGAGAACTGTACCGGGGAACGTGTGTGAAAGTGCTCTGTGTGTGAATGTGCACACGCAGGGATGGACAGGTCTCTGTAGGTTTGTATGTGCCTGTGTGCCCACAAGCTCTGGGGTGGGAGGCTCTTGGGTACTCACTGTTTGTAAACTGGTCCCAGCAAACAACTTCATAAAGGCAGTTAAGGCACAGAAGACTTGTGGGAGAGCTCTCTGCAGGTGGCCAGGGGAGAAAGGCTTCCTGCTTACACTGCCCTGGAACCCAAACCTGATGGAGATGCCAGAGGGTGGGATCCCATCTTGTACTAGGCAGAACTGAGCGCATGACTACAGGCCTCTCAATAGGTGAAACTGAAAAGCACCCTAGCCATTCGGGTCCACATTCGGGCCTTGTCACAGTAAGGGTGGGCAGAGGCAAAGAGGCAGATGAAAGCTGGAGGCCCAAGGTGGGATCTCCTTGTGCTGGGCAAGCCCATCATAGGAAGAGGGCTGTGACCTGGGCAGCAAGTCCCTAAAGCATGTTTAGGCATCATTGTTGAAGTAGCTGCCTGGCAGTGCCAGGGACCCAGCAATGGCCAGCATGCGGCCCTGGCAGTCAGTTCTGTCACCATGAACAATGGAGACCCAGAGCAATGCTGCTTCACCTTCTCCTACAGTGATGCGAACACGGACACTGCCTGTTCTCATCCTACCTGGTTCTCAGCTAGCGAAACTGCATCCTAAGATGTCCGCCTGTTAGTGCCAGTCAGCCCTGGTTTTTGCTGTCTGGCTGATAGTTCAGCAAGGGAACATGCCATTTGCAGCCACATGAGATGTGGTGCCTAGGTATGTTCAGTGACTACAGATGTCTGTGCAGCTGGCATTTCCAGGAATTGAGAAACAAGCAGGACCCCTTACAACTGCAGGAGGAGGCATGTGCTGTCAGACAGATGCACACTCCAGGCCCTAAGGCAATCTTCAGGGCAGGGACAGGGCCTTGGCCAGGCGAGTCCAGAACCAGGACTTGGTGCAAGGGTTGGTGTAGTCACAGACAGTAATGAACCGCAGGATGCTAGGGAAGTCTTTCTTCATTGGCTTGTACTTGATAGGGATCAATCGCTTCTGATGGGCACCTGCAAGCCAGGGGGTACAGAGCTGGCACCATGCCTCTGCCCCACAGTGGGGCAAGACAAGTTTCCAGCACTAGGATTAATGGCAGCCTTCTCCCAACTAACACCCCTGGCACATGTTCACCCACACAAAGGGCACAGGTGTACACACACTCAGCTGCATCCATGGCCCTTTGTGAGGGAAGACTGGCATCCAAAAGCTTCACCCGCCCACTTTACTGTTACAAGGGCAAGCTTGAGTTTACCTGGCGAAAGGCTGAGTGCAAACTTGGTCTGGAAGTCACATTCCTTGCTTTGCAGGTAATCATCAGAGACAACCACCACCATGCGGCGGCACCTAGGGGAGAATGGGCAGGCTACAGACACCTGCAACTCAGCTCAGCATACCCCCAGGGGATGACCTCAAGAGGATCCCACTGTGCGAAGGTCAGACAGGGCCCAGCTGGGAGAATCCCAGCATCTGGATCCCTGAGCAGGTTTCATGCCCCCACCCACTCGTCCCCTGACCACCGAACCAACCTTTTCTCAATGAGCTCACTGGCAATGGACCAGACACAGGTGCCAGGCAGGACATCACGGTCGGACACACACAACTTCAGCCGGTAGTCTGTCTGTTCCAGCTGCCGGATCATCTCGTGCACAAACTGGATATCATTGGGGCAGTAGCAGATGAAGGCATCAAAGCGCTCGGGCATTTGCCCTGGAGGATGAGCACAAGGAGGACGGTCAAGAGTGTTACAGGAAGCCTGGGGAAGGGCCGCTTTAGAAATCTCCAGCTTAGGCAATCTTAGTCCTGGACCCTATACCAGTCGTGAAATAACACTACACAGAATAAGGGCCCTTCCCAGGAGAGGAAGGATGAGTGCCTCCCCCATACCCTGCCCTGGCTCGAGTCCTGGGTTCCTGAGAATGTCATAGCAACCCAGGGGTAGGTATATAATTCCCATTTCTTAGGTAAGGAAACTGAGATTCGGAGAGGTTTAGTGACTTGCCCAAGGTCCCACAGTCCATGTGCTTTCAACAACCATGCTCTTAACACCATGGCCCTCTTGTCCCATTTGGCCCAGAGAAACAGTATTGGGCCCTTACCCTGGGGATCATCTAGGGTTGTGATGCCCAACAGCTCAGGGGTCTGTGGGATACTGCTGTCCACTGCGGCCACCTGTAAGGGTTTCTCAGACTCCTCCTGCTGCTGCTTCAGAATATACTTTTGGCAGTCCTCCTCTGTGGGAAAGAGATGAGAGGCTGTAGCAGGCTCCCCAGGGTGCCCCACACCTCTACCCACAATCAGTATCCAGCCCATCCCAGTTCCTTGGCCATGGTGTGCTCCAGGGCTTCTCCAACTCACTGGTGCCATCCATGCTTGACAGCCCCGAAAAGCTGGCTCCCACCTGGCACTGACCCTCCCAAAAAGATGTCAGTGCTGTTTTGGCCATGCAGAAGTCAATGAGGAGAGGTTTGTGTATCTCTGTCCCTTTTCCCCAGCCTTCTTCCTGGGCAACCTGAGAATGGAACCTAAAATTGTTTCTAGGCTGATGTGAACAGGGGGTTGGACATGCAAGAAAGGCCCAGAATATGGGCCTCCCCTGGTGGTGCAGAGGTTGAGCGATGGGCTGCGAGGCTGCCCGCAGCCTCTGCAGCACCGGTTCGTTCCCCGGCTGCCGGCGAGGGTCCCACCAAAAAAAAAAAAAGGCCCAGAATAACTAATGGTTTTGTGCAATGAGGGCAGAGCCCCCAGCTAAGTAGGTTGTGCCAGTCTGTGAACCATTGAACCCACACCTATGCATGTGTATTGTGGCAGGAGAGGGTGCATTTCCCAGGGACCCAAGGTTTCCAAGTCTGCCAGTTTCCAGTCCTTTACCAGCCCTGTTGCTCTACCTGAAACAATACAGCCCTTCCCTCTCCCCAGCCCCCCAAGACCCCCTGTTGGGACCCTGGCCCTACCAGAAAGCTTTTGCCTAAGCTGTTTCTCTCCCTTCTCTGACTCTCTGAGCCTTCTCATCCAGTCTCCAGTCTGTCACCTCGGATATTGAAAGAGGGAACTGGTTTCTCATGTTTCCCCCTCCCAGGCTGCCACGAGCACCTGGAGGCAGGAAACGAGGTCTTCCCCAGGGGAGACTGGATGCTGAGGACGGTGAAGTTCAGTTCCCCCATCAGTCACCCGCCCCACCCAGTATGAGGCAGGGAAGGGGTCGTCCTCACCTATGCTGGGCCCCAGTTCGACCAACACGTCCTCGCGGCCCATCTTGGAGAGCAGTTCCAGCAGGCGACCCACCGAGGCACCGGGGCGTCCCTGCCAGGCGTCCAGCAAGCGGCCTGTGGGGTCAGGGGTCGACTCCAGATGCCGGATCTCCAAGTACTCAAAGCCCACCTCCTCGGCCAGAGCTGTCCAGTCGGCAGCCACCTGCGTCCGAGCATTCAGGAACAGCGATAGGCGGCGCCGCACTCTCATGTTGAGCGCTGCCAGGGGCAAGGAGGACGTGGAGGGGGAGAGGGGCTCGGACCTCGCTGCCGGAACCTCGGCAGCCATGGTCAGCCGTCTGGAGACTCCGGCCTTCGGAGGCGCTTCGCCGGCGCGCGCTTCCTCCTTGCCCCTAAGCGTCCCACACTCTCCTCCCCGCCCCGCCCCGAACCGCTGGGTTTCGCTTTCCGAGAAGTGCCGCCCTGCCCGACGATCTGGAGCCCCAGATGTACGGAGGTGGGGGCGCCCCACCTGGCTTCGAGGTCTAGGGAAACGGGATAGAATCTGCCTTTTGAGATCTGGGGAGTCCACCGTTCTGTCTTCGGGAGACTGATGGGGTCGAGGAGGACTCGGGGGGTTGTAAGAGACCGGGGTCTTGTCCTCTGCGGCCGGGCGGAGCGGCCTTCTTTGGAGCCACGGGATCTGGGGAGTTTATACGGTCTGCCTGAAAGGGTCACGGGACCGGATCAAGGGGGAGAGGCACGGGCGCTGCCCACCCTCGTGTCTTGAGAACACAGCATCCTGCCCTTGACGGTCTGAGGAGGGACCCCTGCGCACTCCGGGCGGGACTGGGAAGGGCGTGCAGCCTTCTTCAGTCCGAGGCAAGTCACGCCGCACCTCGAAAGTTGGCGGGCAAGGTCCGAACCTCCGGGTTGGAGATAATAGGGTCTTCTGGATTGGGGGGGAGTATTCCTCTCCAGGTTCTGGGGAGACACGGTGCGTGTGGGAGTCCCAGGGGCCCCTGGCCTTGTTCTTCAGGAGCACAGGGCTGAGCTGCGAAGACCCAGCGCAGTCAGTCACTCGACAGCTACTTGCTTGGTCGCCTACTGAGCGTGAAGCATCTGCAGGCGCGCTGGACGCAAGTCCCTCCTGGCCTCGGTGGAGACCCCAGCCTGGTGGGGGCGGTGGGCACTGACCGTAAGGTCCCCCCGGGTGAGCGTGGGATTGGTGAGCAAGCGTGTGCAGTGCGACGGGGCGCTTGTCGCGTGTCAGCGCCGTGGTGTGACCCATCCTCCTCCTACCCCGAGAACCCACATTCTCTCTCTTTCCCAAAGGCCTCCCGAGCGTGTCGGAGTCGGCCTCTGGGGGTGTCTCGGAATTACTCAGGTCCCCGAGCGCGGGTGCTGGGACCCAGGGGATCCCAGGGCGGACTGGGAGGAGGAATTGAGAGCTCCGGCCTCCTCCGACCCCGCGCCGCGGCCGTGGGCGGGGCTCCTGGCAGCCCCGCCTTCTGTTTGGCCGCGGGCCGGGCGGGGCTGCGTGCGCGGGGGCCGGGCCGAGGCGCGCCTGCTGGCGGAAGCCGAAGCAGCTCTCGCCGTTCCGCCGCCGCGGATTTGGCGGTAGGCGGGGTCTCACGTGGAGAGCTCTCGTTTCTGGGCGGGTCTTCAGAAAGGTCCGCCTCCTGGTTGGCTGTCGTTCGCCCATGGTGGGCGTGGCCTTGAGTGGAAAGACCCAGATTTAGTGGTTCCGTCGCAGGAGGGGGCGGGACTTCATGTAGGCTCGTCTGTGGTTGGCTGCGGCTGGAGGTGGGCGGGACTCTTGGAGGCGGTCGGCTCAGTCTCGCGGGATTGTGGGTGGCGTGTAGGGCCCGGGTGCGAAGGTGCGGCCTTACGCCCGCGGGGTCGGCTCCCCGCTCCCGGCCGTGTGCTCCGCCGACCCCGGGCCGAGCGGCGCCATGCGGAGGCTGCAGGTGGTGCTGGGCCACCTGAAGGGCCCGCAGGGCCCGGGCCCAGAGCCGGCGCTGCAGGGCAGGCCGTGCTGGGGCGGCGCCCCGCGAGGCTCCCCGGCGGACGTGGTGGTGGTGCACGGACGGCGCACGGCCATCGGCCGAGCGGGCCGCGGCGGCTTCAAGGTGCGGCCCCTCGGCCTGGGCGTCGGGGCGGGACGCGGTCGGGCAGCCGCGCTCCTGTGGGGCTGCTTGCTTCTCCTTGGCGCGGGGCGGGCGTGTGGTCTCCGGGCCGGGCCGCGGGCCCTCGGGAACCCCGTGCCCCGCGGGACGGGGACCGCCACGCTGCGCTTCCTCCCGTAGGACACCACCCCGGATGAGCTGCTCTCGGCCGTCATGACCGCGGTTCTCCGGGATGTCCATCTGAGCCCGCAGGAGCTGGGGGATATTTGCGTGGGTGAGCCACCCCCCAGGCCCCGCGCTCGGTTCTGCTCGCCGAGCCGTCCCGCCAAAGCGCTGGTCAGACTTCTCCCACCTGGTGTTCTCACCGAGGGAAATGGTGGTGGGCTGGACGCCACTGAATTTAAAGCTAGATCGGCCTCCCCTCGCCCCTTCCAGGCACTCGCTGTCCCCTCCACGCACGTTCTGCTTGTTAAGTTGGTAGAAGGCAGGGGGGTCTCTAGTGACGCACTAATGCAGACTCTTGGCATAGGGGTTTGAGGACATCCTAGGAGATAAGGGTTTCTACCCACCCTCACATCCTCTCTGTGCCGTGACAGAACAGAGGGGGCATTAAAAACCATCTGGTCCAGCCCTTATGCGGTTGGAGAAATTGATGCCTTGAGAATTTGCAGTAGAGCTTGAAACTGAGGTCAGGAATCTCTTGACATTCAGCCCAACCCTTTTTACCCCACCCCTTCTCCTCTGGCCTGGAAATAAAGTGTGGTTAATGTTATTAACTAAGTGCCATCCTAGGTTGCAAATCATTGATCCACCTCGGGAGTGCAAGCAGGGCTTGGCAGAAGACACGGAGGTGGTGTGCAGTTGCAGAAACTCATTTCCCTAACTGACAGGACCAGTTCATCAGACTTTAACTTGTGCACTGCATTCTTTTCCATGTTCCCTTTAAGGCCAGGCAGTATGCCCAGAGTATTCTGATGTGGAAAAGCAGGGTGATGGGTGAGGGAGCTTGGGACTCCCAGAGAATGCCTAGTGCATGACCAGGACAAACTGCAATATAACTGGCTCTCCTTGCTCTGGACTTTGAAATTCTGGAACCTTAAGTGAGCCTGCTAAGTAAAGCCTTTTCTCTGTGAAGGAAAATCTGGAATGCCCCCCTGTCTAGTATTCACAGCTGTTCTTGAGTGTCAGACCACCACCTGGCACTGATAACTGGTTTGTTGTCCACAGGAAATGTACTTCAGCCGGGGGCCGGGGCAGTCATGGCCAGAATTGCCCAGTTTCTGAGGTAAACTTTTCTGATTCTAGCTCCATTTTGACTCTGGAGTGGGCTCAGACCCCAGGGAAATCTGCTTGTGGGTGGAAGAGGAACATATTAGATGCCAGACCGGGAGGCAACTCTGCACCCAGGCCCTCAGACTCTGTTCTGGTGGTACTTAACCTTTCCCCTACTTGGAAGAGACAGCGTGTTACCCAACCCAGGAAGACTAGGGCCTTTGGGACTGAAGTAAAAGCTTTCTGTGTCTTGATTTTTAGCCAGTCAGCATGTTGCTTTGCCTTTTGCAAGTGTGGACTCTACTCTTTTAAGTCAAGTAAACAACCAGCTTGGCAAAACAAGGAGTGATTTTGACCTTTTTCACTAGTTAAGCAAGCTTGGACCTCCTGGCATTCCCCTTAACAGAGACTTAGATACAGGGCAGAACCCTGAAACAAGGGGTAGCTCAGGAAGGGCCCCAATAAACTTGCCTTTCATCACTTGCTGTCCTGAGGTGGCGGAAAGTTGCTTGTTTTATTTTCACGTGTAGCTCGAGTCACCATTTAGCTTAGTACTCCCAGCTGTCTGAAGAAGAATAGGAACATCAGCCAGCGAAGGAAGAGAAAAACAAGCAAAACCTGCCGGGGCTGGGAGAGGTTTAGACTGCTTGGCCTGGAGTTGAAGAACTCCCACGATCTGACTCCAGGCTTATCTTTCAGCCTTAGCTGCCAACCACTTGTTTTAACTGATCCTCTTTCAGCCAGCCTGTCTGCTGCTGTCTTCCCTATGCTGGTCACTTTGTTCCCTTGGAATTCTGGCCTGAGCTCCCAGCCCCCTTCCCACGAGTTAGCCACGTGCTTCTTTCGATATGGCTTTACCATCTGCCCTGTTACTTCATTATCTGCTAGTCGATTCTCTCTTTGTTGGTCGGGAGTCTTCGAGGGCACTGTGTTATAGACACGTCCACACCCCTCTGGTGCCTCATCCTGCATAGGTATTCAGTGAACATGGTGGATTGGGTAGAGGGGTGGTGTAGTGGCAACATGCACAGGGCAGGTTCACTATCATTTAGGGCAGACAGATAAAGGAGAGTGCCAGAGCCCTCAGTGGATTTTTCAGGCTTTAATACTCTCTCAGGGCACCGGGTACACAGGTACATCAGGCAGGGAGGCTGGCATTCAAGGAGACAGGCATGGGCGGGCAGGGGTCAGGCTGGGAAGCAGGCAGGCAGGCAAGCGAGCCTCCCCGCACCTCCTCCCACCCCCCACCCCCATCTTTACACTTTTCCTCTGGGCTCTCTCTGGCGTTCTCTCGTGGTCTCGCCTCTCTGTAGTCACGCAGCTCATTCTCCCGTAGCCATCCTCTGTCTGAGTGACGCCGCCCTTATAGTCCTGACCTCTAGGCTCAGGTGTGCACACTTAATGCATACCCACACCCGTACTCCAGGTGTCCACAGTCAGGCACACTTGCCCCGCGCCCACGGTCCCAAGCGCCTTCTGAGTTAACATGATCAGGGCCACAGGTGATAGTCACTGAGTCTGCTGGCGTAAAAAGCCTGACCAGTTCACTTACCCTGCAGGTGGTAACTAGGTAGCTAGATAATAGGGAGTTGGGAGAACTGGGAAGAGTTCACCAGGCTGCATGGGCCTAGGAGTCTAACACAGAGGGTCTCGAGCAGAGCTGGACCTGGCACTTGCTCAAGGCTTTTCTACCCTGGCTGTTTACCTGAACCACTAGGGTCCTTTCAGCCCCTCATGGGTCTTGGATTTCCTTGGGGCTTTGTAAACTTGGCCAGGGCAGGTTACCTTCGACGGGCAGTCCTACCAGCTTCCATGGTTCAGGACCAGTGTGAGAGCCCTGGAGAACCCACCAGAGCAAGTGATGTCAGAACACAAAGTATCCATCAGGGAATGGGCTTTACAGGAAGAAAGGGGAGCCTCAAGGGCTAACCATGTGGTTACTTGTAAGGCTGAGGAATGGGGATGGTTTCTGGCCTTCATATTTCACATTTCATTTGCTCTGGTTCTCTGTGACAGCAGCAGGCTCTCCCTGTTTCTTGGAGGGACACGGGTATAGTTTTCATTTTTGAATTTGCATACAGAAGGATGCCTGTGTCTCAGCTAGCCTCTTGCCTTTGGGCTGTGCTCAGCCTTGGTAGAGGAGAATCACAGAATGGAAGGGCAAGCCCCTACAGAAGTGGGGTCTACCCACTACAGATCTGATCTGGAGTGGGGGCAGGGCCCCTGGTCTCTGCCCTCCCTGATGAGGGCAGCAGATTGGCCAGGAGCACAGGCTTGCCTTCCCTGAGAGCCTGGCTAACTCTGTGATCGCACCTTCTGTTTCAGTGACATCCCAGAGACCGTGCCTTTGTCCACTGTCAATAGACAGTGCTCATCGGGGCTGCAGGCAGTGGCCAGCATAGCTGGTAAGTTGTGACTCCATTGGTTTGGGTCAGCAAAGTCACAGACTGTTGGGCAAGCAGTGAGGATTTCTGAGAGGACTCTTAACCCGAGTAAAGGACAGCCCCTTGCTGCTGCCCCACACCTTTTGTGGACATTCTTGGGGCTTCCTCCATCTCTAAGGTTGGGGCCCAGTCCTGCCTAGAGACCAGGTGGGGAAGAGGCTCCCCTGTTTCCAGAACAGATGGACTCTGGCAAAGGATGCTTATGAAATGCTTTTGTTGCAGGTGGCATCAGAAATGGGTCTTATGACATTGGCATGGCTTGTGGGTAAGAATTTCTTTCTGCCAGAGTTTGTTAACCAACTTGCAACAATGAAACTAATTTTTCACCCCCTGAATTCTCAGGCCCTGATTTCAAGATTCTCCTTTAGCCCCTTCAAGCTGCTGGCTGGGAGTGGGATGCTGTGCTTAGAAGTCACCTCAGCCTCAGGCTGCTCAGGAATTGCTCGCACCTCTCAGCACTGACAGGAGAGGGAATTGGACTCTCGGAGCTTTCCCCCCTTTTTTGGAACTCTGTCAGGCTGGAAAATGTGGGCTTTTTGAGGAGCTGCAGCACTTGGATTCCCTTCTGTGATTCTCATTCTTGAGACTCCTGAATTATACTTTGGGCTCCTGGAAGCCAAGGACAGCTGCTCCTATGTAGTTGTTTCATTGTACCAGACAGTTTGTCCCCTCCTCCTCCATCCTGGTACTAAGCTGGAAACTTCCAGTTGCCTGTGGGGTTGTGAGGGACATGGTCAGAGCTGTGGTAGTTTGATTTCTGTCAGCTGTGGCTCCATCGTTGGCTGCGGGGGTGGGGCTGCAGCAGTTGTATTGGGCAGTGCCTCCAGGGAGGGGAAGAGCCCAGGTTGGTGTGGGATCTGGCTCTGCAGGGCAGGCTGAGGGAGGGTGCTGGCAGGATCAGGATGGCGAGCAGCCCAGGGTTTGGACATGCTCGCTCTGCCTTTCAGTTCTGCTTTATATAGCATTTGATTGGAAGCCTCACCGCCGCCCCCCCCCCCCCCCGGGGCTGTGTCAGCGGGTACTAGGTTTACCTTCGTGTCTGCAAGTGTAAATAGAGTCAAAGACCACACTGCGAGGACTTCGACTGGGCAAGGGCCATTGCCCTGCGTGCTCTTTGATGATTTTCATGTACCCCTGTCTTACTGGGGGAGAAAGTACCTTGAGGTGAAGGACTGGAGACTTTATGGGTCTCTTAGAGGGCATCTGAGGCCTCGGGCAGGTTGGCCATGTTACATAGGGTGTTATGCTTCTCCCGCGTAGCTTCGATCATGAAGAAACAGCCCAGGACATACTGGTTGTGTGTGGGCGCTGGGGCCAGGCTACCTGAAGTTGAATCCTGGACGAGTGATCATGGACAAGTTGCTCAACCTCCCTGGGCCTCAGTGTCCTCGTTGATACTGTGGGGATAACCACTTCAGCCCTGTTGGAGGTGAAATTAACACCTAATGCTGGAGGACATCATGTGATTGACCTCTGATACCTGGAAACGTTCCACATAGTGCTGGGCACATGGAGAGCGGTCAGTCAGGGTTATCTGTTATCCCTTGAGGCTGTGGTTCCCCACCTCCACAAAGCTTTGTGATCACATTGAACTGAGATCACCCCTTCCTCTTAGCACTTCCTCCTCCCTGCAGAGCAGGTAGCTCTTTGATCTGTAGCTTTGTGGTTACTTTGAAAATATTTGTCTCTTCCCACCTCTGAATGTGTGGTTGCTGAAGGCAAGGCCTGTGTTTGTCCTGTGTGCCCTCCACCCCCCACCCCCACTGTGGCCAACACTGCCCGCCTTCCTGTGGGACTATTGTGTGAGATTGGCTGCAGGCTATATTGGGGAAGCCAGGCCTTGCCCCAGAGTGGACTGTGCCAGTGCTATCCGGGGGTGCAAGCGGAGGTAGAGAATTGGACTCAGCGGGACCCCCGACTCTGCCTTGCTGGCCAATGCTTTGTGTGGGCCTCCCAGCCAGCCTGTTGGATTTCCTGGGGGCTCCCTGGGTATTTCCTAGCATTTATCAGATTGGGGGCATCCTCTTAGTGATCCCCTTTTCCCCTTCCTCCTCCTCAGGGTGGAGTCCATGTCCCTGGCTGACAGAGGGAACCCAGGAAATATTACTTCTCGCTTGGTGGATAAGCAGAAGGCCAGAGATTGCCTGATCCCAATGGGGTGAGTACCCACTGGTGGCTGTGTGCCTGTGCCTTCTTAGCTTCCCACCTGGCCTGAGGCAGGGATCCCAAAACCTGGATCATCATGTGGTTGGCAATGCCAAGCCTTGGCCTCCTGCCTTCAGACTTGGCTTCCTGTGTCGAGGTTCATGGGATGGGACTTGGTGCTGCTTTTCACTTCTATTTCCTCAGGCCCCCAGGTCCTCTGTGCTCCTGGGTTTCCAAACATGCCTGTCACACCCGCCTGAGGGACTCTTTCACAGGAAGGATGATGGCAGCTGTACCTCATAGCCTTGGCGGCACAGAAAGTTGAAGTGGGAGGGCCATTGATTATCGACTACTCCCTGACAGCTGCAGGGGCAAAGCACATTGCATTTGCACAGCATCTTAGCTCTTCAGTCAGTGTCACTGGGCTTCTGGGCCATCCCAGGGTCTGTGGTCAGGGAGCCCTGGCTCCCCGAGATTTGAGGCGGAGAGGGGCAGTGCCTTGGCTGCTTTCACATCCAGTGACAGTATCTCCACACGAAGCTTTTAAAGCTGGAAGGCCTGGCTGTGACTCTGGTTCCCAGGATGAGGGTAGGCACTACCTGCAGTGCATGAAAACCTAGGTATGCCTGTCCCGGAGAGAACTTGAGTCATCTCATTAAAGCACTCGTCCTTGAGGTGCAGAAGGAACTGGGCTAGAGCAGCCTTCTGTGCCTGTCTCTGTGGTGTATGAGCTTCCCAGGATCTGCCCCCAGGCTGAGATAGACAAGCTGTAGCCTGGCACAGGGCCACAGATTACTGACCACACCCCCATCTGCTCTCTGTGTTCTAGGATAACTTCGGAGAATGTAGCTGAGCGCTTTGGCATTTCACGGGAGAAGCAGGATGCCTTTGCGCTGGCTTCCCAGCAAAAGTGAGTGCTTTTTTCTCAGCAGAAGTGGGGTGGGGTTGTTTCAAGGGATGGAGAGAGCAGTTTTGAAGCTACCCTAGCTGTCAGTAGTTTCCAAGTTGCATGCCTCCCAGGAGGGAGAGGGGCCAGGGGCCAAGGATGCTGTATTGCTACTCCCCCCATGTCCTGCTGTGTTCAAACCAAACGTCTTCTAGATGGGCCTTAGTTTCCCCATCTAATCTGAGGGTGCATAATGAGGCCTTTCTCTAACTCGCTGTGGTTTGCTGACTGGACATGGTAGCCACCAGCTGCTCTGGATAGCACAGAATGTGGGGTCGGTGATGCTGGGGACCCTGGCATCCCGGCTTCGACTCCAGGATCTGGGATAGTAAATCAAGGATGTCAGCCACGAAAAATTCCAGAGGCTCGGGCGTCTGGGCAAGCGCAGGCTGAAACTGACAAGTGTCAGCTGCCCAGAGAGAGACAGCAAAGTAAGGGAGGGGGTCTGGGCCGAGTGGACTTCTGAGGCAGGGGTTGTCAGCCCCTTGGGTCGAGTGACCATCTGAGAACTGGTGAAAGCTGTGGATTCCTCCCTGTTGGCCTGCCCCTAGGTACCTAAATCTGTATGACAGCAAAGATCACCCTAAAGTGTTTTGTGCTTTTAAGCTGTTTAAGTCGTTTATGAACTATTTGGTGAATCTTAGTGAAAATGGGAACAGGTAAAATTGAGCCATTGAAATGAACAGAAAATCTGGTAGAACCCAGCATAGTTCTCCTGGGGCTTCGGCCTCGGTTTAGTACAAAGAACAGAGCAGGCCTAGTCTCTCTCGGGGGAAGGGCTCAGAGGAGCCACCAGCTCCAAACCTCTTCCCCTTCAGGGTTGGCCAGGGCCTAAATATCTGAGGCAGCTGGTGAAGAGGGCCAGTAGGCTTTAGGCCTGCCACCCCCCGGAGTGATGGAAGTAGTAAGGAGCCCACACCCTCAGAGCTCCCCCAGGGAGCTGCATTACCCCTGCATTTCGCAGCCCAAGCTTGCCTGTCTGCCCAGGCAGGGAAGGACTCGAGAGTCTAAACTGGATTCTCCTTTTGCTGACAGGGCAGCCAGAGCACAGCGCCAGGGCTGTTTCCACGCAGAGATTGTGCCTGTGACTACCACAGTCCATGACGACAAGGGCACTGAGAAGAGGATCACTGTGTCCCAGGATGAGGGGATTCGCCCCAACACTACCATGGAGGGCCTGGCCAAGCTGAAGCCTGCCTTCAAGGCGGGTGGCTCGACCACGGCTGGTGAGACTGAGCTGGGGGAGGTAGGGTGGCAGCCCTGGGAGTATTCTCCTCTGGGAACAGGGAGCAGACCAGGCCTCTCAGCAGGGTGGACAGGGAAGGGCTGGGCCTCATCAGTCCTGCCCTGAGGCCTCCTTCCCCCACCTGATTTGCCTCTAGGAAACTCAAGCCAAGTGAGTGATGGTGCAGCTGCCATCCTACTGGCCCGGCGGTCCAAGGCAGAAGAATTGGGCCTTCCCATCCTGGGGGTCTTGAGAGCCTATGCCGTGGTTGGAGTTCCGCCTGATGTCATGGGCATTGGACCTGCCTGTGCCATCCCTGTAGCTTTACAAAAAGCAGGTAAGGTGGCTCCTTCCTAACCAGATCACATGGGTCCTCTTACGCTGTCTCCAGACGGGGTTTGGGGCAGGTGTCAAGAATGATCTTGTGTGTGCTGAGATGAAGGTCAGCTAGCACCCCCACCACAGCCCTTCCTGACCCCACAGCTTTGGTCACCCATCTGGAGCAGAGATGTCCTCTAGACAGTCCATGGATGGGCAGGGCCTGCGGCAGCCTGAGAGTCCTGCTAGGTGGCCACTGGGTCGGCTCAGTCTTTCCCCCTTCCCTGCAGGGCTGACCATAGATGACGTGGACATCTTTGAGATCAATGAGGCTTTTGCGAGCCAGGTGAGCCTTTTTCTCCACATTGCCTGGGCCCTGGGCAGCCTAGCAGGAGGCAGTGGGCATGTGGCCCAGGGGCTCCAGCTGATGCTCTGCCTCCTTCCAGGCTGTCTACTGTGTGGAGAAGCTAGGACTCCCCCCTGAGAAGGTGAACCCTCTGGGGGGTGCAGTGGCCTTGGGTCATCCACTGGGCTGCACCGGGGCTCGACAGGTGGTCACGCTGCTCAACGAGCTGAAACGCCGCGGGAAGAGGTAAGGCTGCCCTGTCCTGGGGAATGCCTGAGCGGGGCACGTGTTTGTGCAGACACACCCAGAAGGGGACCCTGGCCTGCCGCAGGCATCTGCCACCATGTATGTGTGCCAAACTGCACGCCAACCACTGTGCCCAGGAAAGCTGGGTCCACGCTGCTCAGGCTGGTTTGGGGACGCTTGGAGGCTGGGCTTCTGCCCTTTGTGTTCTTACCCCACGCACTTTTGCTCTCACAGGGCATACGGAGTGGTGTCCATGTGCATCGGGACAGGCATGGGAGCCGCTGCTGTTTTTGAGTACCCCGGGAACTGAGTGAGGCCCCAGGCTAGAGATGCTGTCAGCGAGGAAGCGACACTACAAAAGTGGGGCCGCGTGGGAAGGCTCGGCGCTGGTGGTGGTGGTAGCAACAGGCAAATGAAGGCACGTCACCTCGTTTGGGAAATGTGGACACTGATGACGGCCCGGGGGGGCCAGAGTCGTCCCGGACCACCCGGGTCTCAAGGCCGCCCTGTCATCCCGGGGGAGGGGCTCGCGGCTGAGGGCGCCGCAGGTGCAGCAGTAAATGAGTTCCCACCGCGGGGTGCGCGTGCTCCTTTCCGAGGGCCGCCAGGCCGAGCAGTGGTTCCTGATTGCCGCGGTCTTCCCGGGGTGGGGGCGCCGCCAAGATTCCCCTGGCCGTGCCCCTGCCCAGCAAACCTGTTCTTAGCGCCGGACCCTCTTTATTTCCGAAGCCAGGTGGCTGAGGGCAGAGCCTTAGAGCTGGAGGGGGGACACATATCTCTCGTCGTGAGAGCCCTGGCCCCTCAGTCGCAGGGTGCAGACCTTCTCGCCAAGCGCACCTTCCACCGCCAGCGTGGACTCGTACAGCTGACTGCTCCTGTGGGGAGCGGGGGGCTCGGGTGAGGGGGCTGCAGGCCCATGGACGCTGCCGGTGTGGTTGGGGAGGGCCATACCTGGCAGTAAAGAAGATCTGCAGGGTGATGGAGGTTGGGGGTGCATTAACTGGTCGCGCCTCCAGCTGCCCACTTCTTGGGGAGACGCTGAAAGCCATAGGGTCCTTGTCCGGCTGGCCTGCCCCAAGGGGAAAGGAGCACACACGAGGGCAGGCGGCTCGAGGTGCCGCCCGAGGCTCCCCCACCACCGGCATCTCGGGTGCGCTACCCTGGGATCACCTGGGAATCTCCACAGGACTGTCCAAGGGCAGCCAGCCTGCAGGGCACGGGCAGGAGGGCACGACCTACCCATCAGCACAGCCCAGTAGCTCCGGCAGCGGCTCAGGTTCATCAGGTAGACTTCCCGGACCCGCCTCTGGTTCACAAAGCAGGTCCCGAAGTCCAGCCAGCTGGTGGAGAGCTGCAGCTCAGGCACGGCCACAATGGCTCGCAGGGGCACCACCTAGTGGGACAGACTTGAAGCTGGCAGGTGTGCCCACCCACTGCACCGGCCTCCGAGCTGGGTGTCAGACACGGGGTCACCAGCAAGTACTGAAGCTTCTGAGCACCAGCAGCTAAATCAGAGGCTGCTGCTGGGATTCTGTGCAGGGAATGGCAAGAGGGTCCCATCTGCTCCCCCTGCCACCCGCTCAAGCTCTGACTTCTGCTCCCTGATCAGGCCGCCCCCTTATGCCGCCGCCCCCCTCCCCCCCAGTCTCCCGCCATGAGGCCTAGTCCTCTGCACCTCTTAAGCTCTGGGCTATCTCCTCTGGCCTCTCCACACCATGGCCTGGTGACCTGTCACAGCCCACACAACTAGGCCCCATCCATGGTCCTCACCCCTCAGGCCATTCCTTTGTGCCATCTTTCAGTGTGGAGGCTTCACCTGCCCTCTCTTCCATGAAGCCTTCCCTGATTTCCCGCCCTACAGTCTCTTACAGGGCTCTGAGCTCCCAAGACAGGGGAGATGAACAACCGTTTCTCCGTGGGCCAGGCCTCTTTCAGGGCAGACTGGGCCCTCGGGTCAGGCTTCCTCTGATTTCTGAGCCTCCTGTCCTGAGAGTCCTGCCCAGTTCCCCCTCCCCACCTCATGAGACAGGCCAGGGGCTCACCTGTGTGGTCTGGTTGCTGTACTCCAGCAGCAGAGCCTGCGTAAACACCATCTCTTTCTCCCCGCTGGCGCTCTGCTGAATGTCCACGCCGGGCAGCATCTGGTCAGCGGGGAGCTTCTGATAGGAGAGCAGCTCCAGGGAGAGGGAGAAGGACACGTTCACCTGAGACGTGGACGGGGCATCACCTGAGGTTGAAGGCAGGCAGCTCCCCACCCCCACCCCCAATCCCCTGAGCTCTGTCCTCCTTCCCCCCACGCCCCCAGCAAGGGCACCGAGGTCCGGAGGGGGGAACAGGAGGGCACGCCCAGCTGCAGGCCACTGACCAGCATGTTCTCCTGTGGGCGAAGCACCAGCTGCCGGCTGGGGCCGGGGTTTCTGCTCCTGAGGCCGGCCCCGTCTTGAGACACGGAGAACGGCTTGGCGACCCGGAGCCGGAAGTAGTGCGGGATGTCCGTGGTGTTGGTGAGCTTCAGGTGGTGGGTGGTCACCAGTTCACTCAGCACCTGGTGGCCACAGAGGTGGGGGCGCTGGAGCCGCCTCTCCCATTTCCTGTAGTCCACGGCGCAGATGGGGGTGCTGGGGTGGGGACTCAGACTTTAAGACCTGTGTCCTGCGGGCGCCCACAGGGACACTTGAGGTTCGGGTAAATGGGCAGCACACTCACCCCGGAGCAGGGCTGCTCGGGGATGAGCTCGCTGGCCTGGTGCCGGAACCCCACGCCGCCGCCGTAGTCTAGTTCCACGCTCAGCCTGCGAAGGACGGGTTCCGCTAGAGCAGGGGGGCTTTGGGGCGTCCTGGTCACCCTCCCTCTGCTCACTGGCCGGGCCTGCTGGCCCCTGGGTTCTCTTGCTGCTTTTTCCTCCCATGCCCAGAAGCCTGTCCGTCCCCACCCGTCCCCGTCGGGGTGCTTGCCCTGGGGGCTGCAGGGGCCGGCAGCCGCCCGACTCACTGTGTGGGCCTCACGCAGCTGTGCAGGTCCAGCCTCAGGGGTTCCACGGCGAAGTCCTGCAGACGCCGCCTCCTCCCCGGCAGCTCCCTCTCCACCTTCCCGGAGCAAGCCCGATCACCGCCGGGCCCGGGCTGCGCAGGCAGCGTGCCACCTGTGCCCCCTGTGCCCGGCCGGGGCTGTGGCCCGCCCCCCTCCACCCCCCACCCCGCTAGGTGGGCTCACCTCGTCGTCCAAACTCAGGAAGCCCAGGGCGTAGCCAGCGCACTCCACCTTGTGCGGGTCCTCGGGGCCGAGCGCCGGGGGTGTGAAGGAGACGAAGATGGTGCTGCTGCCCCCCGCGGGGACCACCTGGCACAGACCCGCGGCTTTAGCACCGCCCCGTGCCCACGGCCGGCCTCTGGGGGCTCGGGGAGGCAGCACCCCGCCTGCCCCAACTCACCACCTGCTTGGGGCTGACGCTGTAGGGGTGGTCTGAGAGCACCCCGTCGTGCGCCCGCAGGACGACCGAGATCATCGGCGCGGCGCCCTCCCCGGCGCTGGCGCTGTCCTCGGCCTGCCCGCAGAGATGCTGAGGCTCGCCCGGCTCCAGGCCACGGACCCCTCCGCCCCGCCACCTGCTCACCGACACGGGGGTGCCCTGGCTGAGTTCCGACACGCTGGAGAGACTTGAGGACCCCAGGAGGCTGCCGCTCTCGGGGGTCTTGGGGCACGCGAGCTCGCTCCCGGCCTGGCCCAGCCGCGGGAAAGGCGGACCGGAGAACACCAGCAGCTCCACCAGCCGGTCCGCCGCGTCCTCCGGCGCGTACGTCTGCCAGTCCAGGCGGATGTCTGCGGGCGCGGGGAGAGGCCTAAGTCCAGCAGACGGCCCGGCCCCGCGGCTCCTCTGAGGCCCTGGCCCTGCGCCGCGGGCGAGCGGAGCCTTGCTGGCTTGCAGGCAATTCTTGTTCTTGAAAAAAGGGTCCACGGGCGGTGCCATGTGGCGCTGTCAGCCCCCCGCTCTCAGGACCGCGAGGCCGGGTCTCCGTGTCCACACGCACGGGTCCGGGCGGTCTGCGCTCCCCACGCCGCTCCTCTCTCCCATTCGCTGGCCACTCTGGGCACGCTCACCGCTGGGCCCCCCGGCTTCCCCCTCCGTCCACCAGCCCCGGCCTGCCCTCACTGCTTGCCCAGCCGGGCTAGCCTCAGGGAGACCTGCAACTCCTTTTGCCCCCATCATACCCACCTGGCAAAGCCTAACCCAGGATGAATGGAGCTGACTCTCTGGGTCCCCTGGAGAAGGCCCCTCACTTTCTGAGCCGCTTGCCACACCCGTACATCTAGCCCCTACCTGAACTGGGCCTGTTCCCTGGGAGACGAAGCTAAGCAAGGGCATGGAGTGTGGTTCTCTCCTGACCCAAGGAGTGAACGCCCACAGTGCCCAGGCCCTGTCCCAGAGGCGGGCAGCAGGCCCGAGGTGGCCGGGCCCCGGGACGCCACATGTCCTCCCGGCGCCGCTGCAGCATGGCCAGGCTGGTTGGGAGCTGCCATAGTTCTTCCTGCGGTCAGCACGCCAACCCCGAATACTCCCCGGGCCACGCTGGTGCACCCTTCCTCCTGGCCTCATCCTGAACACCCCCGGGCAGGGGAAGCTTGGACCCCACAAAGCAGCCCATGCCGTCAGCACATGTGCCTGACCATATCCGTCCTGCCCACCAGGATGGCAGACTCCACTGTCCTGTCCCCTCTGTGTCCCCAGCTCCTTGCCCAGCACCTGGACGTAACTGGCTGAAGCAGTGAGAAAAGCTGTGCCCCCCAAGTGCCTGTCCCTGATGAGAGCAGGGCAGTGGCCCCACAGACACTGGGAGACCTGGGGTTTGGCAGGGCCGGTCCTGTCCTCAAGGATGGAGGGACGCTGCCAAGCCTGGAGTGGTCACTGCCCATCTTGGCCCTCGGGGCCCTCACCCAGTAACCACCTGGACTCAACCTTCCCCTAGCCTGAACCCCAAGACACAGCCTCGTGAGAACCCGGTTATCTGTATCGTGTCTCACCACATGGGCTGGAGTTATTCAGGCGAAGGGCTCGGGTGATTGTGTCTCCTCCAGAGACCTGGGTGCTGAACCTGGAGGCAGAGACCAGGTCCCATGAGGCCGCTATCCGCACACATCTCGCACGTGGGGTGACTTCAGAGAGGAGGGGGGGCAGAACCCAAGCAGGAGGGGCCCCACAGTGGCCTGTCATCAGAGTCCCTCCGATCCCAGCTGTGCGTGGGGTCTGTGACCAGCGCCGCTCAGCTACCCTGTTACTTCTCCCAACTGCACCAGCCATGCAGACCCCAGCTCAGCTGGCATGAGGTGCACCGGGACTGGCACTGTCCTTGGGCCACACTTGACTACTCACTGCACCCGCCCCGCCAAAGCCCTCCTGGTGATGGAGGTGGCAGCCATGTCCCCTGAGGCCTCTCTCCTTCAAGGCAGCCCTGTCCCAAGCTCTCCTGCTGGGTGGCACCCAGAGGCCCTGGGCCAGCTGGGCTAGGTGCAGGCCAGGTGTCCAAGAGCAGAGGGGGAGGAGCACCTGACGATGGGTTCCTTCTGGCACTGGCCAGCCATGTGGTAGGTGGTCCTCTGGGAGCTGATGGGGCAGCCCACCACTGCCATGTGCACCGGGATCACTGTCGGTGGCAGGTCTCCCACCTGGGAACACATGCCAGATCCCCTGTCGCTCTCGTCGCTGGCTGGCGCCATGTTCCCTGACTCCCACTCCCTGTGCGTGAGGCCTTCCCTCTCTAGTCGGCCCAGAGTCTCCGATGCTGGGTCCCAGCTTGGCCTGGACTCACTAATGTCTGATGCTTGCCCCAGACACCCCCAGTTCAGGGGCATCACCTTTCAACCTGGTGAGATTTGAGAGGCTGAGGAGGTGCTGGAGGAGAGTGAGCCTGGGGGCACGGGCTGGGGTCAGCTTCCCGCCACCCCCAGACCACTACCCACCTGTATGGCCTTACCGTGCAGATGAGGTTGTCCCAGTATTCACCCCACATGTTGGCACAGCCTGTGAGGTCGATGCTGAGCTGCTGGTGGCCCCCCAGCATGCCCTGGGGAACCTTGGGGAAGAAGGCCGCTCCCTTCCCGTGAGACAACACGCTTTCCATCAAAACTGGGGGAGAACCAGGCATAGAGAGTGAGGACCCCAGACTCTCATTGGGAATGAGGTTCAAACCCTCAGATGTTAGTAAAGCCACTCCCAACCCACAACCTCCCCTTGGTCCAGCAAAACAGACTCTCCTGTGAGCCCACCTCGGGGTGCCAGGTGCCGCCCCCCCGCCTTCTGAGCCAACATCCCTCCCAACTCAGTCCAGGCCCTGTGCAGGAGCCTCACGCCCTGGCAAGGAGAGGGCCTATTGTCAGATGCGGCGCCTCAGCCACCGCAGGACCCGCCAGCACACACACCGAGAGGGGGTCTCTGGTCCTGGCACCTCCCTGGCAGCATCTGGCCTCCCTTCTCAGCAGGACACGCACAACCCCGTCCCACACGGCGGGCTCTTACCCTGCTGCTCCCGCTTGGCCAAGAGCTCTCGCATGCGCGCTGTCTTCAGCAGGGTGGGGTGCAAGTCGGGGCTGTGTGAGACAGGACACAGAAACAGCATCAAGCCATGCGGCTCCTTCCCCAGACCTGCGCCACCAGCAACATACCAGGGGCCCAGCTGAGGGAGGTGGCCCTGCCTGCTCCTGCCTGGGGCGAGCTGGCCTGGTGTCTTCTTCACTCCCTCCTCCACCCTTTGCTCCCACCGCACCCTGGCACCCAAAGCACCCCAGCGGCAGGCCCCCGGCCGGCCACAGGCATGGCTGTCTAAGAAACTCAGGAGGGCTTGCTCCACGGGCTCTCTGCCCTGGGGACCCCTGAACGCAACCCCAGGCTCCTCCCTGCTGTCTCTTGCTCAGCCTTCAGCAGGAGACCCTGACATCTGGCCAGTTTCAGGTGCACACGAGCTTTTCTGGAATGGAAAGTTAATGGTTTAGAAATGGCTCCCCGGCAACCCGGGGTGTAGTTTCCAAGTTGGCTTCCCTGCCTGAGGAGATCAGGCGACGAGGTGTTTGCGGCGGGGCGCTGGGAAGCTGCCAATTTCTGTGGCGTAACTACTTTCGCCCCGGCTGACTTCAAGTTACAGCTTCGCAGAAGGCCTGAGGAGCTCCCCGCGGGTCTCCGGCCAAGCGCTCGCTAAATCTGGAACCCAGCGTGTGCGCCACGGAGGTGTACGTGTGTGACGCTCGGTTTTGCCTCTGCCCTTGGCCAGAGCAGCTTTGCTGTTCTGTGCTGTCTACTGGGTGTCCACAGGGGCGCTCTTCCCTCCTGACCCGCACCCCCACGGGCTCTCACACGGTCACCTCTGCCCACACAGTTCCCTCTGGCGGCAGCATCTTCTCCCCGGTCACAGGCTGAACGCTGCCTGGTCTGGCAGAAGCCCCGCACCTCACAGGCCGGGCCTCTCCCTCAGGTCCTCTCAGAGCCCGGGAGGTGGGCAGCAGAAGCCATTGTCTAGCTGTGAAAACACCTGCTCCCGCCCCTCGCAGCAACCAGCCTCTGCACACCTAAGGCCCGACGGGGCAGACCCCACCTGCCCCAGGCTCTCCAGAACACCCTCTGAAAGAAACCAGACTTACAGGCTGGGCTTCTGACTTAAGTTGTCTTGAGGACTCCCAAAGAACTCAAACTTGAGGGTGAAGGGGGTCTGTATTGGGGAGTAATTGGTCAGGATGAGCTGGCGAGTCACATGGGTCCTCAGTGGCACTGCTGAGCCAAAGTCCAGGCGGCGCTCCTCGGGGTGACCTGGCCACAGCTCGGCGATGGGAACACTGCCCATGCGATGGGCACAAGGTTATATGCTACCCCTGGCCAGCCACCCTGGGTGGGGGTGCAAGAGTTGCCCAGAAACCAGGTTTTACCTTTGGACTCCCACTTCGCTCAGTGGCAACCCCATAAAACCCCTTTACTGTCTGCTCACAATGCCAAGAAGTTTCAAACTCCCCACAAATTCTCCCTGTCTCAGGACAGACAGGTCTGTCTCCCACTTGCTGGGCCTCCTGTGGAAAGGCCCAAGGTGTCTCCTCCCTGCCTGGACACCACACCCTCAAGTGCGTGGGCAAAGACCACACAGAGCCCGGAATGGGCTCCACAGAGATGGTGAGTGGCCACAATGACACTGTTGCCTTCTCCTGGCTGTAGGAATTGGCAGAGTAGATTGGTACCACAGTGCCCATGCCAGTCCCCTGTGTGGTCACCTCAGGGCTGGCCCCAACTCTGGGCTCACCTGCCCTCAGAGTCCACCGGAGATACGGTGATGGCCACTTGCAGTCCCTGAGGTTTCCCAGAAATTCCCAGCACCAGAGGCTTCTTCATGCCAGACACATAACAAGGCAGGGCCAGATCAGTCAGCTCTTCCTACAAGACAGCCCGTCCAGGGTACATCACTACAGGTAACTCCCAGGGCTGGGCCTCAGAAGATGGGCCCAGATGGTCTTCCAAGGCATAAGCAGTCGTTTGGGGAACTCAAAATGAAGGCCTTTACTGCTATCAGGTTCATCCCTGTGGAAGGGCATCCAAGTGAACCCCTCCAGTGAACCACCACCCACAGGCCCAGCCCATTGGCCCCCACCCTGCCCCCAGGAGACCCTGCCCCTTCTGCAGAGCTCCTGGCTATGCATATGCCTCAAATATTGGGGCATGCCTATATGAAGGGAGACCCCCTCAAAATGGACCTCCGGAGAAGCTGCACTTATTCTGATGAAGTTGCTACCACAGAAATCAAACCCTTCCTGAGGTGCTCCGTGGCAGGCCTGGGCCCACTGTCTGTCCCTCTAGAACTCAGGCCCAGCTGTGTGAGAAAGCCGCTCTCTCCAGGTGGGCCCTGCATCTGCAAGAAAGAGGTTCCTTTCCCACAAGAACCACACACAGATAGCCAGTGACCTTACAGTACCGAGCCTGTTCTGTCCTGAAGGTCTTCCTGTGGGTGAAGCCCAGGAAAAGTTGGGAGGAACTGGGCATCTGCTCTGGATGTCTGGGCAAACTGCAAAGCTGGACCCTCCTGTGGCCACCAAGATTGGCCTGTGGAGGCTGACGCTGGGGCCAAAGGTAAGCGATGGCTGATGGATTTCGGGGCACATCCAGGGCTGCTCCTTGTTTCCCACAGGAATGGGGAAGCCAGAGCCAAAAGAAAAAGTCTCTTCCCAACCACGAAGACCAGGAGGATCTGAGGCGGCCCTCCCTGCCTGCGCAGGCGAAGACAGTGCCGTCCCCGTCGGGCCCAGCCCGCCTTACTCACCATGGTGTGAGCAGTCAACTCCAGGTGGAGGTGGCGCACCTCGCTGGGGCCCAGTGTGCCTTGTCTGGGGGAGATTCTTGCTGTGCACAAGCTTGCTTGATGTCCCAGGAGCTGGCAGACACAACACAGAGTGACCAGCACTGACTGCCCAGCACTGTTGCGTGGCCCACTGGAGGTTCCCTTCTCTTTTCTCCAGATAGACCTCACACCTAAGGGGGGTGCCTCTGAGGGGCCAATGGAGGGGGAGCAGAGGGCAGCAGCCTCTGATGCACAAAATGTGGCCCCATCCCCCATGGGACACACAGCCAGGGTCATGGTCAGTTCCGAAGTGCCAGAGCTGGGCTCCAGCAGCCGTGTGGACAGTCATGGACAATGCCAGCTCCAAGGTCTAGCTGCGTGACCCAGAAACTCCTTGCACAGGAAACCAGACCCTGAGGCAGAGCAAGGAAAAACCAGACCAGAAGCGCTTTCCTTTGGAGAAGTCCAGCTTTGCCTGTGGACTGAGGGACAGGCATGGGAGGCACACCAAGCATCTGTTTTAGGGGCCCCTTGGGAGCAATGTCCCCCAGCGACACAGCCTCTGGTGTGGAGGGTTCTCTCACCTTGCCCCAGTGGAAGTGGGTGGGCAGAAGTGTGCCATTGATGAGGGTGACAGCTGTTTTTGTGGGCACACCCAGGTAGAGCTGGCTGACCTCCACCTGGCTGCTCTGCAGGTACACATAGGGCTGCTGCACCTCGGCATACACGGGCAGGTAGCTGAACCCAGGAAATACAAGGCATACTAGTCGGAAGGGAAGAGATAAAACCATCCCTATTTACACATAACATTTTATTTAGAAAATCCCAAGGAATCTATACTTTAAAAATGTCTAGAACTAAGTGAGTTCAGCAAATTTACAGGGTACAAAGTCAACACACAAAACTCAACTCTATGCTAGCAGCGCACATGTGAAAACCACTTAAAAAGGCATTTCCGTAAATCCAGAGAACGGAGCAAAAAAAAATAAATAAATAAATAAAAGCACAACAGCATTCATTGAGGTGAAAAAAAGTCATATGGCCCTAGGAAGGTCCTGAGGGAATCACTGGATATAAATATTGACACATTTAGTAGCTTCTTGTAAGAATGAAGGAAATTACATCTTTACATATTATATCATATTATTTACATCATTAAATATTATGACATCTATCAAAAGAAATATATTGTTGGTCTTTATGGGTGTAAAGTAATAGCTATTGTGAAAATTTCAATTGTCCAAAATGTCTCCCCTTAAGATTCTGGAAGTTGAGGTTATTTTAACATGTACGTGTGTGTGTGCACACACATATGCTTATAACGTATATGAAGAATTTGTTATGCTAGGAAAGTTCATCTCCTCAACATGCAGTATAATGAATTATTAATTGTTTGATTGTCAGTTTTCAATAAAAATATGATCAAAGCGGTAAAAAAAAAATAAACAAAAAGGCATTTCCATTTACAATTGCATAAAAATGGAAATACGTAGGTATAAGCCAAACAATGCATGCACAGGACTGGTGTGCGGACAACAAAACATAGCTAGAAGAAGGTAATCCAGAAAGAAATGATCACATGGAGAGAGATACTGGGTCATGAATTTAAAGAGGCAACACTGTAAAGATGTTAATTCTCCCCCAAATTGATCTGTAAGTTCAAAACAATTTTTATCAAACTCCCCTAAAACTTTGTAGACAAAGATAAGCTTATTATACAATTTATATGGAAAGACAAAGGACAAGAATAACTAAAACGATTCTTAATAAAGCGGGAAGGGCCACACTGTACTGTGGATGCCAGGGCTTACTGCAGGGCTGCGGTAATCAAGACAACAGGCCAGCGGTGGTGGGGGACATACCCCGCTCGATAAAACACAGACACCCCAGAAACAGACCCACACCAATTTGTCTCAGTTTTTGGTTTGGGGTTTAATGTATGAGGAATGGAGATAACATATATTCTGCTTCTAATTTTTAGACACTTTCAGATCACAGGCAGCTATCACACACACACACACACACGTACACAGACACACACACACATAGCCCAGAGGGATTCTGTGCACACCTGGATTTTCCCAGTGGTGACATCTTACATAACTTTAGTATAATATCACAACCAGGAGATCAACGTTGCTACAATCCAGCAATATCATTCAGCCCCCACCAAGTTGACATGCACTTAATTGTGTGTATTTACTTCTGTGCAATTCCGCCACATTGTAGAGAGAAACAAGACAGGAGCACCAGTGAGACAGAAGTGTTCCACCACAAGGACACATGGCACTTGATGCCCCTCCTCGCTCCCTTTCTCCTTGCAACCTCTCCTCTGTGCTCCAGCTCCATAGCTTTAAGGAGGCTGTATCGTCACATAATATGCAACGTTTTGAGATTTACTTTTTTTTGCCAAGAATAATTCCTTGGAAAGCCACCCATGCTGAGTGTATTTGAGTGTATCGATTATTTGTTCTTTTTATTGCTGAGCAATATTCCATGATATGGGCGAACAACAGTATATTTAAACCATTCACCCCATTGCAGAAAACAATTCAATGGGGGAAGGATAATCTTTCAATTAATGATGCTGGAGGAATTAGAATATCTACAGGCAAAAATAAAATTTCTGTCTACACCTCAGACTTAAATGAAAATTAACTCAAAAGATATTGTAGGGCCTCCCCGGTGGCGCAGCGGTTGAGCGCTGGGTTGCGAGGCAGCCCGCGGCCTCTGCGGCGCCGGTTCGATCCCCGGCTGCTCCCCGGCCACCGCAGGAGGGTCCCGCATGGCCACAGACCTCTCCTGCCGCCCGCTGCTCCCCTCAGCAGTGTACTTCGGTCCTTCTGCCTGCTCTGCTCTCCGCTCTGGCTCTGGTGAATTCTCTCACCCTCCCGCGCTTCTGACTGTACCCAGTGCTTGTATAAACAAAAAACAAACAAGCAAGCAAATAAATAAAACATGCCTCTATAAAAAAAGATACTGTAAATTTGAGTGTAAAACTATGAAACTTTTAGAAAGTGATAGGAGAAAATCTTTAGGCCCCAAAAGCACAATTCATGAGAGGGAAAATTCTATGAGCTGGACCTCAACAAAATGAAAAGCTTTTGTTCTGTGAAAGAGGCTTTTTCTTTCAAAAGACAAAATTACTGACTGGGAAAAATATTAAACCATATACAGGACAAAGGGCTGGTTTCTAGACTGCATAAAGAACTCTTAAAACTTGAGAATAGGGCCTCCCTGGTGGCGCAAGGGGTTAAGACGCAACCTATGAAGCTGTCCGCAGACACTGCAGCAGGAGTTCAATCCCCAGCCAGGGAGCAACCCACATGGTGCAGCAGACCTCTCCTGACTCGCCCACTGCTCCCCTCAGCAGTGTGCTTCAGTCCGTCTGCCTGTTCTGCTCCCCACTCTGTCTCTGGTGAATCCTCTCACCCCCTGTACCTCTGGCCTGTACCCCAGCTGTTGTATGCATAAATAAATCTTTAAAAAACAAACATGCACTGATCGTGTAACCCAACAGTCCTACTCCTGAATATTCACCCTTGTCCACAGAAAACCCGATATACAAATGGCAGGTTTATTTTAACATCCCAAACCTGGAAACAGCCCAGTTATCCTTCCTTTGGCGGATGCTTTAACAGACATACTCACACTACAGAATTCCTCGCAGCAGGAGTGGACTAGTGCAACTTGGAGCGCTCTCAAGGGAATTATGCAGAGTTTAAAAAAAGGGAGGGGAGGAATCTCATTATATCCTGTATGACCCCATTCATAGAACATTCTTGAAAAAAATATTCTAGAGAAGGAGAATTTTGGTTTGCTAATTCCCAAGCCTTTGACATACCCAAGCCTGGATCTGAGTCGTTCTCTCCCCAGCATGTGTTCTCTACTGCCTTGTATCATGCCACAGCATTTTTTTTTTTTTTTTTTTTTTTTTTTTTGCTGAAAGCAGATGTAACACGGGGAAACTGGAGCTGATACAGACAGAGCTCCAGTGCCAGGTTGTCTGTTTACCTGGCTGGGAGTTGGGCTGTAGTTACTGTTTGCTGTCGCTGTAGGTGTCTGAGGCTGAGGTTTCCTCTGGTGTCTTTGTTTTTGTCTTCTTGGTTCTCTCAGCTGCAGCCCTGTTACACACACGGCCCTGGCCCCGGGGTGGTGCGCTCCAGGGGAAGGAAGTGTGCTACCATCCTGACAGGTCTCAGTCTTCTAGTGGCCTTTGCCCCTGGGCTGTGACCTTCACCCATGTGTCTAAGTGTCGCCCCCTCATAGATGACACAGGAAGGCTAGAAGGATGCAGGGGTTGGGTCATTTTCCTTCCCCCATGTCACATAAAGCTCTGGTGAAATCCTTTCGCTCCCTGGGTAGGACTGGCCTGTAGAGAATACTCTGGGCTCATTACAAAGTGATTGCTTTTCCTCTGAGGATATTTTAGAATGGCAACGTGCTCCCTCGCTCCCACACCAAACTACAGAATTTTTCTCCAGTTTCCCAATGAGAATCTGGCAAATAACCAGAGTTTTCAACTCTCAAGATAGACCACACAACCTCCAGCAATCTGCTGAGCTCCTGCTCAAGCTTCTGCTGTGGGTAAACTGGTCTGTATTCTCTGTATTTGCCTATGAATTCAGTTTCTGGGGAGGGTGGTGCAACTAAGAAAAGCTATTGTCTTTCAGTTGGTTCAGCTATTTCCATGCTATGAGGGCAAAAGCAACAATTTGCATTAATATAAAAAAAGGGGGGCCTGGGGGGGGGCGCAGCGGTTGAGCGCTGGGTTGCCAAGCTGCCCACAGCCTCTGCAGCGCCGGTTCGATCCCCGGCCACCGGAGGAGGGTCCCACATGGCGCGCAGACCTCTCCTGCCGCCTGCTGCTCCCCTCAGCAGTGTACTTCGGTCCTTCTGCCTGCTCTGCTCCCCGCTCTGGCTCTGGTGAATTCTCTCACCCTCCCGCGCTTCTGACTGTACCCAGTGCTTGTATAAATAAATAAATAAATAAATCTTTTAAAAAAATTAAAAAAATTTTTATCTCTCTAAAAAAAAAAGGAAAAAATATAAAAAAAGGGACAAAAATGACACGATCATTTTAATAGATGCAAGAAAAGATTCAACACACTCTAACAACTCCTTAAGAAAAAACAAAAAGCAGGGCCTCCCTGTTGCTGCAAGGGGTTAAGCACTGCACTATGAAGCAATCCACAGCCTCTGCAGCACAAGTTCGATCCCCGGCTGGCCAGAGAGAAACCCACTTGGCGAAGCAGACCTCTCCTGTCTCACCCACTGCTCCCCTCAGCAGTATATTTCAGTCAGTCTGCCTATTCTGCTCCCCACTCTGTCTCTGGTGAATCCTCTCACCCCAGCACCTCTGGCCTGTACCCCAGTTCTTGTATGCATAAATAAATCAATCTTAAAAAAAAAAAGCAAAGTAGAGGGAACTTCCTCAACCTGATAAAGGACATCTACAAAGAGCCTACAGTTCACATCATACTTCATGGTGAAAAACTGAGCACTCTTCTTTCAAGAAGAGGAACAAGACAAGGATATCCACCCTTATTACTCTTATTCAACATGAGTGCTGGGTCCATTATGCAGGTCAGCACAGAGAAAAGCAGGAGCTGAAGGACGGGAAGGTGACGGGGGAGAGGGAAGGGATGGAGGAGGAGAGAGAAGAAGACCAGACAAAGGACAAGGTCAGAGGCCCCCGGCCCTCAGCAGGGAGGGAGTGCCCGGTCACGTGAGCCAAGGATTCTCCTTTCGCCTAAGCTGATCACATCTCTGTTTTCATCACCTGCAACTGCACACTTGCTGGCTAGAAGAAGACAAACCAGAGATGGGAAGGAAAGCAGCAAGGACTTAATAAAAGGCACCTTCCCTGAGCAGACAGACTTAACCTTCATAATTAAGGCCCAGGAGGTGCCATGTAGGCCCAATGAGGGAAGAATCATTCCGAGATCTGGTACTCGGGGAAGAGCACATTCTAATGAGACACTAGTGGTACCGACCTCTCCCTCCACCAAATGGTCAAAGTACAAAAGGCCATAAACTATCTGTCCCCGTGAGGGTGGGAGGCTGTGGGCACTCTCGGATACCGGAGGGAGAAGTATAAAATGGCACAGACCTTGGAGAGGGTAACGCAAAAGTATCTGCACAGATTTAAAATGAGCAGTTAGGGGGCCTCCCTGGTGGCGCAAGGGGTTAAGCCTCAGCACTATGAAGCTATCGGCAGCCACTGCAGCATGAGTTTGATCCCCAGCCGGGGAAGTGACCCACATGGCACAGCAGACCCCTCCTGTCTCGCCCGCTGCTCCCCTCAGCAGTGTTTTTCAATAGATCTGCCTGCTCTGCTCCCCACTCTGTTTTCAGTGAATCTTCTCACCCCCCCACCTCTGGCCTGTACCCCAGTTCTTGTATGCCTAAATAAATCTTTAAGAAAAAATGAAATGAGCAGTTAAATGTTTCTATAATGAAAAGCAAAATACAGAAGCACATTTATATTTCCATTTACACAGATATATATACTTATATGTATTTCTATTTATATAGTATAAATATCTACATAATTTAAAGCATAATAATTAAAGCCACCAGTGTACGTCTCTGCCCAGCTTAAGAAACAAGACACCATCACCGGCCAGCTAAGACGGTAAGATTTGGCAAGGGCGAGGAGATGTGACCGAGACATGGATGAAACAATATCTGCAGTGATTTGATAATTACCGAAGGCAGGTGATGGGTAGGTCCGTGGGAGGCAAGTTACGCTATTCTGTCTTTGCTTCCCAAAAAGGAAGTAAAGAAAGAGGGAGGGGAAGCAGGAGAAAGGAAATATCCTCCCAGAATGCAATGGTATTTGCTCATTTAAACAGACCCCAGACAGACCACAGCCCGCGTGTGCCCGTCCTCCCGGGGCTGGATGCTGGTTTTCACGGCTACGAGCGTGCCCACGCGAGCACGGGGCTCCCAGCAAGTGTGTGCATGTCCCTGGGAGTGTATCTAGAAGGGCTGAAGCCGGGTCACTGGGCATAAACAGCGCGTTTCTAGGTCACGATAAAGCGGGAATAGTCGCGCTCATCTCCACTCCTTTAGCGCACACAGTCTAGGAAGAACCACCCCAGCGTGTTACTAGTGACGTATCTCCAGGTCATGGGTTTTCTGTCATTTCCAAATTTTACAAAATAAACATCATCAATACCTTTACATTCCGAAAGGTACGTGGTGCAAACACCGAATACCCGTAAGTGAGCTCTCCTGGTGCGCCCCACTCCCCCTTACCTGCAGGGCCCGTTCATCACCTCCAGCTCCAGGACCGTCTGCAGGCGCTGGCAGCACGAGGCCTCCAGGGTGACGCTCACCCTGCACTCCCCCAGAGGGTGGATCTGGCCGCTGGAGGGCTCGATGTCCAAAGGAGACACCTGATGGGAAGATCAACCCAGAAGGAAGAGTGAAGCCACTTGGCGTTGGAACCAGGGTTGCCCCCCAAAGCTGCCCCTTCCAAAGACCGTCTGCAGGTGGGGAACGTAGCCGAGCAGTGTCAGTGTCTCGGGATTAAGAGAACAAACTCATCTCCAGAGGCAGATCAGAGGAGGGGAGGCAGAGGAACATGCTTCGGGGGCAGAGGGGTGGGTGTGGTCACTCTCGGAGAAGCAGGTCAGGACCCCGCGGGTGTTGAAGGAAAGCCACCAAGTCAGTTCCCTGGCAAAGGTGGGAGGCCTGGGCAGGCCGTCCAGGAGGCTCTTCAGGCCCAGCTCGCAGGAAGTGTCTCTGAGCTCCCCAGAGCCCAGGCACTAGAGCCTGCGCCCAAGCCCAGCGGCAGGAGAGCCCGTTTGCTTTCTGTGTCTTTGTTCCTCCTGAGTGTCCCCTTGGAGCCCTGGGGCTCTAGCTGCACTCTGAGGCTGGGTTTCTGGGTCCCCGGCCTGAGAGCATCTAATTTAAAACCCCAAATCTCAACATGAATTTTGAGAGTTCAAAAGAATAAAATGCAAGAACTGTAAAGACAGGATTCCTACCCGGCCTCAATTATGACACACATCTTAACATAAAAACTGACATTTGTTTCAATTATAAAGTGTAGTTATCTCAGTGGGTGAAAGGAACAGGCTGGCATTTGGAGAACTGGAACCTGATCTGATTCCACCAGCCACCAGCCGCGTGGCCCTGGGGACGCCCTCGTCCCTCTATGAAATAAGCCGGCCGAGGTCTGCAAGTTTCCGGCTGTGCTCTGGCAATTCCCTGGGATTCCTTAGAAGGTCCTAGTCAGGGGAATGGAAGGAGAGGAAGGAGGTTGGGGCACTGGGTGCCCAACAAGGGGGTATTTTCTGCTTTTATAGTAAAAAGAAGTGAGTGGAAGTGAATCTTGGATTTTCTTTTTGGTGCCTGTGAGTTTGGGCCACAAGCCCGTGCCGAGCACCACCTGGTGGCAGATACTGGAACTGCAGGCACAATTCCCGGCGTTCAGAACCCCTGGGACCAGCCCTGGAAGCTCCCGGCCCAGCTCAGCTGCTCATTTTCTTCCTGACTCCCACCTGCTCTGACTGAGGGAGAAAACTATGTCCTATTTTTGCCTCAGGTGGAGAGAAAGAAACAGGAAAATCCAGTTTGGGGTTAAGTTCTGCTACAGAAACAGGGAGAACTGGGGACACTCCCAGGCCAAAGTCACCAGGCAGCCTTTTCTCCCAGCCTCGAGGTTTTGAAAGCACCAGGCCAAGTGTCAGGAGGTCACACACAGCACAGACACACCAGCTCCTGGGGGAGGGTGCCCCATGGCAGCCAGCTTACTTTCTCGGTCAGCAGCCTGACTTACTTTCTCCTGCCTTTCTTCCAGGCAATCCGGGCTCTCCTGCATGTGCCATACGGCTGGGAGCTGGCTGATGTTCTGTATCTGGATGGAGATCGTGGCTTTCTGCCCCAGGCGAAGCAAACCAAACTGGAGGGCTGAGACATTGATGATGAGAGCAGGCCCCTGAGACAGCCAGAGGGACCTGTTACGGGCCTCTTGGGAATGGGCTCTCTGCCCTACCCCTGCCCCCTTTCTGGGCCACCTGGCCCCACCAGCACCTTAAACGCCGCCTCGATGTGCAGCACCACCGGCAAGGGGGAGTCTTTGATTTCACACAGCAGGTCGTGACTGGTCGGCCCAGGGACACCCCCGGTAAAGCTCAACACAAAATACTCGACCTCGCTGGGTTCTAGGAGAAAGGGGGAAAAGCAAGAGGGGCGGAAAGGAAGCCAGGGCAGGGTCCTTCTGGGGCTGGGCCCAGATGCCTGGTCTCTGCTGACCAGGTCCACGGACAGCACGAACCTCTGAGCGGGCCCCTTCACTGAAGCCTCCGTCCCCAGCCAGCCCCTGGCCTGACCCTCCCGCAGTCCCCGAAGTACCTATGGCCCCCACGCAGGGCTCCACTTCAATGATGTGCACGTCGCTGATCTTCCCCCACGTGTATCTGATAGGGGACTTGCTGTTGTTCCACATCTGGAAGACACACCCCAGCCGGGCTCCCCAGGTATTGCCCTTCATGTCAAACCTGTACCTACTAAAGGACTGTGGGCTCACAAAAGGTCCTCCTGACACCCTCCCAGCTAATTCCTGGCTGTCCAACAGGCCTAACACCACATAGCGGGGTTAGTGGGCACCATATTCTGCCCAGGACCTACAAACGCTGGAATGGGTACTGCAGCTGATCTTCCAGAAGATGCTGGGAAGCTGAGAAGATGAGACGGACGTGGCTGGCAAGCTCAGCAGCTGTGCTGAACACACAGGTGCAGGGGGCCTAGGGACAGGCTCACCCTCTGTGTAGTGGTTGCCACCACCCACGCCTCCAGCCGCCTCCTCCCTACACTCACGCCCAAGTTCAGCAGCACCTCAGCCAGCCTGGCCTGGGGAAGGCAAATACGCACCTTAAACTCTTTCTTCACATTTATGCCAATGTAGTTCTCCCCAGGGATGAGGAGGGCATATGGTTCTAAGAGAACCTGGAATGGTTCTGCTGAGCCCTTCACCTCGATTTCCAGGACAATCACGTCATCCAACGTATAGGAGGGCTCCTCCAGGTTTTCCAGTTGTGAACTAAACACAAACCCACCATGAGCAAGGAGCCAAAATAGCCTAGGAGCATGGGCCTCACCTCTGTCCCATCTCTGCTCTCATGAAAAGAAAATGCTCCTCTAGCCACAGCTCCCCCAAATCTGAGGCCTCAGCTGATGCCCTGACCCATTGCCTCCAGGACCACAGTGGCGTCCAGCCTGGGGTCGCCCCATGAGGCTGACTGCAGCCCCACCTCGACAGGGCAGAAGAGCTGCCAGAGCTGCTTGCCTTGGGGGGGAAACCTTCCCGTTGGTTCCCACCATCCAGGGGCTGCCAACATGGCTGCCCAGTGGTGACAGTGACCTGGAGCTCCCAGGTTCCAGGGTGGCCTCTGCTTTGATGACAGTCCCACGAGCCCTGTTTCCTGCAGGCTCCCCAACCACCACCCACTGTATTCCTGGCTGCCCCACGGGGAGGGCAACAGGAACCCCTGCCCACCCCTCACCCAAGGCTCACCTCACGGGCTCTGGGATTTCCTCAAGCACCAACTGGAACACACTGTGAAAATTTCTCAGCTGCAAGACACACACAGTAGTACCCTGAAAACAAACTGTGTGCCAGCCAGGCTGCCCTGCCATGGCAGGACTGCCACGCCCCTCTGCCCCACCACCAGAAGGCCTTCAAAGGAGCAGCTGCCAGGCCGGGAGTGGGACTCAGGGCTGGTGTTTGCCCAGACTGGAGTGCCCACTGCAGCTGGGCCTGGGAGGTGGGGGAGGCTCTCCGGACCTGATGCTGTCCCTGGGCAACGCCCTCTATGGATCTGAGCACCACAGCGCCCCGGATAAACATTGAGGCCCCGGGTGCTTGGCTGACATGACAGGCCTGCTGACCAGGGTCCTGGAGCACCCATCACGCCCAGTTCTCATTCCCACTTCCCTGTTTCCTGTGGTGCTTTGAGCTGGAGCAGGAAGCTGTGTTAACCTCCCCCAGGGAGCCTGCCTCTCCCTCTCTCTGGGGGTGCTGCAGGATGGGCGAGGATGGAAATGCCATTGACAGAGTAGAAATACAGAAGACCCCAGAGCTCAGGACAGGAGCCTAGGGTCTCACTGCTGTTGAGGTATGTGTGCAGTCAGGGCCAGGCAAAATGAGTTGCTTTGTCCTGCACCCCAATCCCATCCTCTAGCCCCACTTTTCGTTAAATACGGGCCTTGGCAGGGTCCCAGAACCTCAAAAGGTCCAGCTGTGGCTTCCAGTGTCACTAAAGAACCATCATGGAGGGTAAAAAGGTGGCACCCCATCACGGGGTTACCAGGATGGCCCCACATTAACCTCATGAGGAGAAAAGCTCAGGGTGAACTCGTGGTCTGTGTGGGGGTTGAAAACCCCCCACTGGGGCGTGATGGAGAAGGCGGTCTCCCTGTCGGGGTGGCACTTGATGCTGTCGGCACTGTAGGCTTCTCCGGGCATCAGGGGCTTCAGGTTGGGCTTCGTGATCTGCCAGTGGAAGGCCAGCTCCACATGCCTGTGGGGGCAACCTTGACAGTGGGCAGCAGACCCCAGGCCAGGCCCCAGGCCTGCCAGGCCAGTCTGCCCGCCCTGTGCCTGGCCTGCCTGAAGGAAAGTGGGGCTGGGAGAAGCTGGGCCAGGGGGTTCAGACTGGAGCCCTCCTAAGACCCACCTCCTCGGTCACATGGATTTGGGGGAAACGACAAACACGAGGACTGGTGCTGTGACCGTTACGCTGGAGAAGCAGAGCCACCCCCGGAGAGCAGCAGTTCTCTGCAGTGTCTCTGACCACACGAGGATCTCAAAGGTTTGCCACGTCGACCCACCCCTGCCCGCAGGCTCTCCAGCTGTGGTTTCCCAGGACAGCTCTGTCCACAAAGGAACATGCCCACGGCTGTCCACGGGAGACAACTCCATGGTGGTGGAAGGGTCAATGCTAATGGCAGACAAGTGCTGCTTCTCCTGCTTGGGAAGGCCTGGGGACATCTGGGGTCATGGCGGTGCCCAGGATGGTCAAGAAATAAAAGGCAGTGAGAACTGGACCCACAGGCCACAACTGAACCTGCCCTCATGGCCAGGGCCGGACCTCTCTGGAAAACTTCCTGGCTAAGGATGGTTTAGGATAATCCAGAGCAGCACTGTCTGAGACAACTTCCTGTGGAGATGGAAATCTACATCTGCTCTGTCCAGTAGGAGAGCCACTAGCTCCACGTGGCTACTGAGGACTTAAAATGTGGCTGGTGCCACTGAGAAAGTGAGTTTTAAATTGTATGTATCTGATTTCAATTGAAATAGCCACATGAGACCTAATGGCTACCATGAGGGATGGTGTAAATCTGGATCCTTCTATTCTGTGCCCAGACTCCTCCCTGGCACTTGGAAGGAACCTCTGGCGAACTCAGGTCCACATGAGGCAGAAAGGGCATGTTTGGGGAGGTACTACCCAGGGGTCACTCACGTAGCATTTCTAATAATCAGCTGTTTCCTGGCTGTGGACTGAAGGTTTTCAGGCTCAAAGCGTATGAAGTGCTGGGCTGTTAAGTCTGTGAACTCCCCTGGCTCCGGTTGACTTTTTTCACCAGAAACATAGACCAGATCCAATGCAACCAGCTGCCCGATTCCTGACAAAGTAGGGCAGCCAAGTTTCAGGAGGGCTGAGATCAGGACTCAGGGGCCTTGCCACTATCTACAGGCAACAAGCTTTATCACCACCCATGGAGTGTACACAAGAGGGGAACAGTGGGCCACCAGCACACTCACTCATGCCCCCAAGTCTTTAAGACCAAAAGGAGGTGATTTTGAGGACCTAGTACTGAGTAGATACTCAATTAATGCTTGCTAAGTGAAACTGGATGGATGGATGGATGGATGGATATAGAGAAGCTATTGGGGAAATTCAGAAGGATGCCCTCTAAGCCTCCAGAAACCTATAGATGCTTCTGGTTCTTGTATGTGAGTTACGGGTAATTCTCCAAAGGACATCAAGGGAATTTTAAAGTGAAGCAATGAAAGATGTCACTCCAGGTTTCCATCTATTACTCTGAGACTCCTTAGAGCTGTCTGGAAGACCACACTGGCTTGGGTCACCAAAGTCTAACCAGAACAAGTGGCCCAAAACTAGACCCCAGTGCCTGGTGCTGCAGGCACAGAGTGAGGGCTCTGCCTCTGCCAGTCTAGTGCAACAGCTTCCACCCCGGGAGCACACACAAGCCCACCTACGGTCACCACCTCCTTGACCTGGCAGTTGTCGCACACGATGACAAAGGTCTGCTCTGCCTTTCCTAGGTTTGTTGGGAGGAACAAGACCTGGGGAAGAAAAGGGGGCTCTGTTATCTCCCAGGAAGGGGTTTCCACCCTCCTCTTCTCAGACATACACCCCTCCCTTGGTTCTTCACTTTTCTCGCCCCTCCCTGCAACCTCGCCAACTTTATACCTCAGATGCACCCTAGAGTATCGCAGTGAGCACATGGAAAGTGTAGGATGGAAACTAATGACAACATGTAAATGGGCACCTTCTAGAAAAAGTTTTTCGTTCCCCACACTGGTAGAGAACAGAGTTGGCTACCATAAATGCAATGATATACCGCCTTGATTTTCTTCAAAATAATCGGAGCAGCAGGGTGAGATTTGGTTGGAAGAGACAGAGGGCACAGAAGTAGCAAGGTTGGCCAAGATTTGATAAATGTTGAAGCTGGTAATGAGTACGTGAGTGATTATCAAACTATGCCATTTTTGTACCTGATTCAAAATGTCCATGATAATGTTTTATTGTTGTTAAAGTTTGATAGACACTACAATGGCAAGAGTGTGAGGAAACAGGCACCCTCACACTGTTGTTGGAAGGATAATGATAAATACACATGTTGGGGATTCTGGTGACATGTATCACAATTATGAGCGCAGAGATCCCTGGGACTTCAAATGTGGCTGGTGCCACTGAGAAAGTGAGTTTTAATTTGTATTTAAAACTCTGAGACAACAAACCCAATTTAAGGATTGTATCCAGTGGGAAGACTTAGACTGGTGATGCATGTGTAAGTTATTAACAGAGATGGCCAGAGATTATGTCCCTCCGCAGAGGACAGCAGACCTAAACTATGGTTCAGTCACATAGTGAAATATTACACAGCTGTGAAAACACATCTCTAAGATATATTGGAAAACACAGGGTGCAGAACAGCATATAGAGGAGGCAATGCTTTGCGTGAAGGAAAAATGGACACAAAGCAAAGAAAAACACATTCAGTGGCTGATTTAGGGTCACCTATCACTAAAAGGGCATTCAGAAAACTGGAAAGGTTATGGCTGTTCCTGAGTGGCTCAGGAACTGGGTGATAGGGAGCATTTCTCTCTCTCTCTTTTTTTAAAGATTTATTTATTTATGTATCCAAGCACTGGGTACAGTCAGAAGCACAGGAGGGTGAGAGAATTCACCAGAGACAGAGCGGGGAGCAGAGCAGGCAGAAGGACCGAAGTACACTGCTGAGGGGAGCAGCGGGCGGCAGGAGAGGTCTGCGCGCCATGTGGGACCCTCCGGGGAGCAGCCGGGGATCGAACCGTCGCTGCAGAGGCTGCGGGCAGCTTCGCAACCCAGCGCTCAACCGCTGCGCCACCGGGGCAGCCCAGAAAGGGAGCATTTCACTGTTGATACACTTGCATCTTCTGAAGTTTTAATCATGTGAATTTATTACTTCAAAATATGAAAAAAATTTAAAACAAGCAAGACTCTAAACCACCAATAAACAAAATACACAAGGAATGTCAAGAAAAACTGACCTGCCTAGGGAGTCTGTGAGGAACAGACTCTTCTTTTCCTTGGGGAATCACAGATGGATGGGATGAGGGGGAATATCCTGGTATGGTCGGGGTGGACCAGCTCCAGTTGTTGAAGTCATGACCTGGCTTATGCCCAGAGGACCCAACCCACCCCAAGAGCCTGGTTCTCCTCAGGGATCAGAGAGCACAGATGTGAATAAGACAGCCACATCCCAGGGCACAAGGACAAGATCCTGTCAAGTGAACTAGGAACATGTCGGGGGAAAGCAGCCCTCCTGTGCAAGCATGGCAGAGAGGCTTACGGCACTGTTCCACTACACACTGAAACCACGCGGGGAGCTTGAAAAGTCCTGTCCTCAGGTCCCAGACCACACCCGCAACCAACTAACTCAGAAGCCCAGGTCTGGGGCCCAGACATCAGTGAGTGTGAGTTTCTCAGGGGTTTGCAGTGTGCAGCTGAGAAACTAAGACTCCTGGCTCCTACTACCCATGACGCGGTGCAGGCCAAACCCCCTCTTCCCAGAAACCAGACAGCTTTCACTCTAAGAGCATTTTCCTGAAATGGCGAGTGGGGAAGGTCACACATGCCTGGGCAGCCCCACACAGTTACAAGGCAGCACAGAGGCACACTTGCAGACAGGAGTCAGGGAGGGTAAAGGCCTGGAGCAAAAGGCACAGGAAGACATCACCATGTCTCATAGGCTTTCTGGGGACTAGTGGTGTGATGGGCCAAAGGGAACCCTGAAAGGGGCCAGTTAGGAAAGGAGCAGCCCACAGTCAGGGGGTTAGACTGGAAGCTTTTGCAGAGGTTTGGAACAAGGCCAAAGGCTTTGCTTACTGTGTGAGGATGAAACAGGAAAGAGACAACAAAGCCACTGTCACCCAGTGTAAGAGGCAATAGTGCGGATGAGCTGCCCTCGGGGTTCGTGATGGAAGGGCCGGTGCTTTCTGCACTGGCTGAGAGAAATCACAGATAGTCAAATGGCATCACTCCCAGAAAGCAGGAACTTGGTCCTACTCAGAAACCACCAAGAAGTGGATGGGTAGAAGTGGATGTCAGGGTGAAAACACAAGGGAGACGAAACCATGTGGGCTGCTGAGAAAACAGTCACAATCCCTCCTGAGGACGACGCGTGCACCCAGGTCTGGTAACCTACCTCCACTAAGATGGCCTGCCCCGGCACCAGCTCGAACACAGCAGGCAGGATTCCAAAGGGAGGTTGTTCAACAAAGCCAAGGGTTGCAACAGCCTTTAGGAAAAGCAGAAGTGTGGAAGAAATGGTAAAATCCAGGGTTCAGATTATAAACTTCTCTCTTCCAAACACCAAATTTACAGCCTGGGGGAATCTCAAGGATCAACCCATCCTTTGTTGATGAAGAAACTGAGGCTCATTGTTCCTCATCCTTCACCAGCTACCCTATGGGGTTCTGAAGGTTAAAGAAGAGAGTCCGTGATGAGTAGACTACTGATCAGATGCACAAGGAACACTCCTGACGAGAGCTTCAGTCACAGGCTGGAGGTGTGAGAGAAGGCCTCACCCAGGGGGTGACTCCCACCACAGCTCCATGTGACTGGTGCCAGCTTCCTTGTCTGCCTCCACCCCCAGACACCCCTGGGTCCTGGGGGCAGCCACCATCTTGTTAGCAGCACTGCGGCCTGATACCTACATAAGAAGTCACTTGTCATGCCAGGGACACAAGCCATAACCACAGGACCTGGCAGGCAACAGAAATGAGAAATGTATCTCGGAACACATTGTCCTCTGGAACTATCACCTGTTCCCCAGAGACACAGGTACAGAGAAACCACTCTGTGTAAAAGAGTAACCATGCACATGTGATGAGCATGCTGGGGGGCTCTGGGGATGGGTGGGGCAGGGCAATAGGATGTGCCCAGCTTCCCAACTCCGGACAACTGGGCCGCAGTGGATCCTGGGCCAGGGCACCACATTGTCCAGTTTTTCAGAGACTGGATTTTTTCTGTGAAGTCATCCTATTTTTAAATGTTGGCTCAGAAAAATGTTCTTAACGCACTGTGCCAAGTCAAGATGCCCAAAAATTCAACCCAAGAGCTGCCAGGCGGGGGGCCTGTGATATACTGACATTTGCTCTATAACTATTCACCAGCTGACCAAATGTGAGTCGGGCCTTGAAGGAGGAGAGGGGCTACCACAGGCCCAGGGCCACGTGGGCAGTAATGGCAGGCTGGGACTGCAGCTCTGGTCTCTGCACAAACTGATCTTCACCTGCACCGTGGCAGTGGATAGAGAGGTTCTAGAATTCTATTCTCTGAGTTTCCGATCACAAGCACACTTTGGCAAGTCCCTCACAGGGCGTAATTTCCTTTGAAGGACTTGTATTTTCTCGACAGCAACCTGTGATCACTCACCCTGAAGCTGTGCGGGGGCCAGCTCTTCTTAGGCATAATGCAGAACCTGCCGCCACTGAAGCCCACATTTCTGCAGAGGAATCTGGTTATCTTTATTCCGCCAATGAGGCAGTAGCCACAGTTCAGCTCAGGCGACACTGCAGCCACAGGAAAAGATGTGCAAGAGAAATAACCCGACACTCCAAACAGGCCCTGCTGTCACTGTCCTCCTGAGGTCCAGAGCTCAGAGGAGCTGTGGAAGGGCCTGGGGGCCCCAACCTGGCACCCCAGCAGAGATGAATGGGCACATGCCCTGACCTCTGCTCACACGTGCCAAGGGACCTTACACATTCCTGGCCAGAGCAGCAAGAGTCAATGCCCACTGTGGACTTGGGCCTCAGCCAGGGCCATCCACAGGGCCCTCAGGTTTGTGGTCAGAGTCCCAGCTTCCATCTGTGCCCAGCTGGGAGACTTGGAACTGAGGGAGCACAGACAACATCAGTTTCCCTAAGGTGCCACCCCCAGAACCACAGAGGTGACATGCGCTGAGGACTCTGTGCAACTTCCTTGTCTCCGTGTGGTACACTCAGGTAGGCACAGGCTGGCGAAGTCTGGGCTCTGGGGGGTGAGCTGGGCTGCTGGCCTCCTCTCTCTGTGTGTAATTCAGTCAGCCTCCACTGGGAAGTAGGACCACGGGCCTGACACCGTGGAAGACTGTGTGGAAGCTGCTAGCCAGTCCCTCTTCAGGACCCAAGAAGACCAAGCTGTGATCTCCACAAAGAGGCCCTAGGACCAGGTAGTCCTTTGGAGACCTGTCACCCTACCTGAGTGCCCAGGAAGGCAGAGAGCACACTTACGAGTCAGCACCGGGGGAGGCCTCCGGGCCTGCAGGGGAATCAGGAGCGTGTGAGCCGACTGAGTCTCAACTAAAATAAAATCATCAAAATCCCCAAGGCAGTCGGGAAAAAACTGAATAGTGTATTGGCAGATCATTCCAGGAGCCACCATTCCACCTTTTCCGGGGAACATCCCTGTGGGTAACAATAGTGCCCAGTGAGGATCTGGGGGTAGCCAGACACCAGGTTTGGGCTCCAGTGCTACAGGCGGCAGCCGGAGATGCAGGCAGACCCTGCCTGGCTGGACCGGCTCTATGAGTAGTCTGGGTCAAGGCCAAGTCACTGGCAGAACCTCCGGGTGCACTAGGGGAACAGGGCCCAGCGGGGTAATGATATGGTCCACCTAGAGGGGTTAGGGGAGTCATGCCTGGCCCTGAAGCTTGGAATTGATTTTGTGGGCAGCTGAGAACCCCTCAAGATTTCTGAGCAGGGGTGACATGGTCAGAGTTATTCTTGAGAAAGTCATGGTGAGCTGGAAGCAGGAAGGCTGGGAGGCCACTGCTGGGGATAACATGACGAATGTGGGGGTGGGCCTCCTGAGGGGAGGGGAGGGGAGGGGATCTGAGAAAGGAGCTGGAAGAGCAGGCAGCTTGCCTGCAAAGGGTGAGAGGCCCCAAGGGACCAGATGTGGCCGGAGCTCAGGACAGAGATGTGGGGGTCACCTGAGGGCAAAGTGGGCCAGTATTCCAGAGCAAGCCCAACCAATCATTTTGAGGCAGCCCAGACAAGGGCAAGACTGAGCTCACCCAATCCCAGAGAGAAGTACGGAGTGAAAGGCGGGAGGACTCGCAGGAAGCGGCTGGTCGAGGTGATGTTCTGCAGGGAGATTACCATCTGTGCAAAGGGAAAGGATGTGAGGTCCAGGATTTCCTTCCACTAACATGGTTTGGGGGCTGGGGCATAAATGAAATGAGCTTGGCCCCTGTTGGTACTATTGGGCTGGGTGATAGCCATGTGGGGACTCAACAGCTACTGTACCTACTTTTGATTGGGTTTGGAAGTTTACATAGTGAAGTGAACGTGAAGGTAGAACTAGATCTCACCCATTCTTTGTCCAGTTTAAAATAAGTCACTATTTACTGAGCATTTGCTATATGCCTACTCCAGCTTCTAAGAATAGCAAAGACGAGAACTATCTGTTTTAAGCTCAAGAAATTGAAGTTCAGAGAAGCTCCCTAGCCAGGAACAGTGTTGACATTTGAGCCCAGGACATCTGGCTTCAAAGTTCTGCCCACCCCTTGTATCTTATTTGCCATCTTCTGGCTTCTTCCCCATGAATCCCTTTGGGCTACATCTTCCCACGGGCCAGTCAAGGGGTGATATGGGCACTGGAACGCCAGGGTTGTAACTGGGCATCTCTCCATCACTCAATCCATCCTGCCCCAGTTAAGCCCTGCCTTCTCTTCTCCCTCCCTCGGATATGAGACACCCCCTATCTTAGGAGAACCTCCAGAACAAGGCCTGAAACTCACATGCTGCCAAAGCCCACTGCCCCCAGAACAAGAGCAGCTTAATACATTTACACATCTTTTGCTTCTACTTTGTGAACTATTACACTGGGAAAAAAATGTATATGTATATATTACAGCATGACCAAAGTTACATTTCTATCATTCATATTAAGAAATGAAACATTAAAAACACAGATGAAACCTTACCCCACCCCTTTTCCAATTAAATTTGAAATGTCTTCAACCTTTGCATAGGTATACATTCCTACAACAACATGTAAGTCCCCTTTTGGCCAGCACAATATATTATTCCAACTCACCTCAGAATCAGACCCCTTAGGTGTGGAGCATCCCATACCATGAATTTCATTTTCATTCCTGTTACTAATGATAATGAGCATTTTTCTACATGTTTCTTTGCTATTGAGGTTTCCGTTTGTATCCTTTTTTCAACTTGCCATCATGTATTGATACTTTGTCTTTTTCTTATTGATTTGTAGGAGCTCTTTGTATATTTGGGTATTCTTTCCACGCTATGTTATAAAAATGCCCAAGTTTACAATTTGTATATTAGTTCTAGTTTCTAAAATTTTAAAATATCAACCTTTTATGGCTTGTGCTTCAATTTTAAGAAATCTTTTTTATGTTACTCTTTTACATCGAGATCTTTGCTGGAAAGTATTTTGTCTAGGGTCTGGAGTGAAGTAGAGATTTAAGTGTTTTCCACATGGCAAGGATGCTAATTCAGTTCTTTCTCTTCATGTCTTTGCTGCTCCCTCATGTGGGCTCCCAGCCACATAAGGCACACTTCAAACAATGCAAGACAGGAACCACCAGTTTAAAGGGCTTCTTAGGAAATGTCCCACAAGACAAAACCATCAAGTGCACTTAATGGCATTCAGCTTGAAAACACATTCTCATACTGGCTCTCCCACCTTCCAACCCCTTTGCTCATTCCTCTTTAAAACTGCAAATGACAGCACATCTCACCTCAAGCTCAGTTTTATAGGGAACCCTGGCTGTGACGGTATCAGTATCAGAAGGGTCCTACAGCAGCGGACCCCTAGGTGGCAGTTCTGGCTTTCTCATCTGTCTGGCAGCTGCAAGAATACAAGCTGCTGGTGGTGGGGTGTGATGACCTCTGGCAGTGCAGTGGCATCAAAATTACTTAGCCTTTCATCCAGGGTCAACTGAAATGAGGCGTAGATGGAGGTCAGGCATTGAAACATGGGGTTGCAAAGGCAGGGGCAGCAATAATTACAAGGATTATAGAGTGGGTTGACTTTCCTTAACAGCACTGGGAGACTTGTAGGAAAAAAATAGCAGGTTCAAGGCAGTGAACTAACAGCTCAAAGCCTGCTGCAAAGACATTCCTTGCATTCCTGGGTTATACCTAATTGGCTACTGGGGTGTGCTTGTGTGCATGCGTGCGTGCGTGCGTGCGTGTGTGTGTGTGTTTCTTTTTCCTTGATTGGATTTGCTGTTTTCACCTAATATTTCTGTACCTGTGCTTAAAAAAACTCTTCAATTTACCAAAACACTAAATGAAAACAAGAGAAAAAGCACAATAGGACATGAAATATATAAACCTGCTGACATACAAAACACGGGTCTCTATTCCTACCCACAGCTTTGGTGTGGTATAGAAAATACCACAAACTGGGTAACAACAGTTTATTTCTCACAGTTCGGGAGTCTGGAAAGCCCAAGATCAAGGTTCTAGCAGGGTCATGTTCCAGTTCGGTACCTTTTTCTGGTTCATAGTCAACACCTTCCTGCAGTGGCAGAAGGGCTGGGGAACTCCCTGGAGTTTCTTTATAAAGGGCACTAATCACATTCATGGAGGCTCCACCCTCATGACCTATGACCCCAAAAGCCCTTCCTCTAATACCATCACCCATAAGGGTTAGGATTCCAATATAAGAATTTGGGGAGAGGGCCACAAACATTTGGACCACAGAAGCCATGGCACCTAATAATGAGGCTACAGTCCTTCATTTTCTAGTCTCTGAAAGTTTATATATAATAGGAATTAGCTTGAATGTTAAGTGATATATATGTAAAATAACCAGGATGGTTTTTTTAAAAAGATTTATTTATGCATATAAGAACTGGGGTGTAGGGGTCTCCCTGGTTGTCCAAGGGGCTGAGCACCGCACTATGAAGTAATCCGCAGCCTCTGCAGCACGAGTTCGATCCCTGGCCAGCCAGGGAGCAACCCACATAGCGCAGCAGAGCTCTCCCATCTCTCCCGCTGCTCCCCTCAGCAGTGTCTTTCAGTCAGTCTGCCTGTTCTGTTCCCCACTCTGTCTCTGGTGGATCCTTCACCCCCTGCATCTCTGACCAGCTTCTGTATGCATAAATATTTAAAAAAAACTGGGGTGTGGGCCAGAGGTGGGGGGACTGAGAGGATTCACCAGAGACAGAGTGGGGAGCAGCACAGACAGAGTGACTGAAATATACTGCTGGGGGGAGCAGCAGGTGAAACAAGAGAGGTCTGCTGTGCCATATGGGTAGCTCCCTGGCTGGGGATCAACAGTGGCTATCAACAGTGGCTGTTGATAGCTTCATAGGGCTAAGACTTAACCCCTTGCACCACCAAGGTATTTCTTTTTATAGAAAATTTTTTAGTTATTTTTGTCAGTTGGATAGCCCCATAGTTTAAAGAGTCAAAGAGTTCTATAAGGTTTGACATATAGAAATCTTGTCCTATACCACACTCCTACCATCCTCCACTGCCCAAAGGCAAACACTTTTTATTCCTTTAGTTTATGAGTGTGGAATTTATTTCCATGTCTCCAAACAGCGTGTTACATTTTTGGGGGGGAGGGGCGTTCACTTTTAGGCATTAATTATGGATGAATAATATATATATTCTTGTTTTGTCTCCAATATCCAATCACCATATGACATCCTTTCTGTCCCTCATATTCCCACTATAAATTATATCCCACTACTAGTTAGATCAGTAATTAGTGTTTACATTATTGTTACTATGTAAATGCTATCTAAGCTGAACATGAAATTACCCCTTAATTTTTTATTTTCTGGGAGTTAATAATCAGATATCTTATTTGCTATGCACCTATCAATAATTCAACCTCCCTCCCCACTACTCTGCAATCTCTTCCCAAGGAGTGCAGTCATACTAGGGACTCATCAGTGCTACCCCCATACATAAACCTCTGCTAGAGCCTTCTTGCCTCTCCCGATCTGGACTGGGTGCCTGCCACTCCCACTGGTCTCGTCCAGGATAACCCTCGCCATCGAATATGTCCACAAGTCCTCTGCTACCCCTCCCCTGGAGAGGTCAGGTCTGTGTATCTTCCTCTTAAATGTGGGCCAACCTAAGTGACTCACTTGTAACCTGTAACAAGTTAAGGAAGTGGTGACTTTCTCCACTGCTCCAAGCAAACCACTGGGTGACATCATCAAAGAGATGCAGCTGGGAAGCTCACTGAGCAGCTCTGATCCTGGGAGCTCTGTTCCTCTGGGGTTCATGCAAAACATCTGACTACCCAACGAGGACAGGCCGTGTGGAGAGGCTGAGCACAGGTGCTGCCTACTGACAACCATCATCAGCTACCAAGTGAGCGAAAATGGGCCTCGGATAATTCCAGGCACCCATTTTCAAATCACCCCAAAGCACTGAGTGCAGCCACAGACTCCAATACCATGGAACAAGCCATTCCCACTGAGCCCCCTCCAAATGGCTGATCCAGAGAAACTGCAAGTTGATGAGAGGGTTGTTTCAAGTTACTAGGCTTTGGGGAAATTTGCTTTGCAGCAATAGTCCCTGGAAAATCCCATAACCTGGGGATTTCCTTCACTTCTCTCCCTTCCGGATCTCTCCTTTCCCTCGTACCTCATCTCTCTCCTCCCTGGGTTTACTCTCTTCTATAGGGGGTGGGGGTGGAGGGGCATGTTCTAGGAGTTTCCTGAGAAAGGGTACATGGGGCATAAATGTTTAAAGACTCTAAAAATGTTTTTATTTATTTTTTTTAAGATTTTATTTATTTGTATAAGCACTGGGTACAGTCAGAAGTGCGGGAGGGTGAGAGAATTCACCAGAGCCAGAGTGGGGAGCAGAACAGGCAGACTGAGGAAGTACACTGCTGAGGGGAGCAGCGGGCGGCAGGAGAGGTCTGCGCACCATGTGGGACCCTTGCCTGGTGGCCGGGGATCGAACTGGCGTTGCAGAGGCTGCGGGCAGCTTCGCAAACCAGCGCTCAACCGCTGCGCCACCGGGGAGGCCCTATTTTTTTTTTTTTAGATTTATTTTTATTTATTTTATTTATTTATACAAGCACTGGGTACAGTCAGAAGCGCGGGAGGGTGAGAGAATTCACCAGAGCCAGAGCGGGGAGCAGAGCAGGCAGAAGGACCAAAGTACACTGCTGAGGGGAGCAGCAGGCGGCAGGAGAGGTCTGCGCGCCATGCGGGTCCCTCCTCTGGTGGCCGGGGAGCAGCCGGGGATCGAACCGGCGCTGCAGAGGCCGTGGGCAGCTTCGTAACCCAGCGCTCAACCGCTGCGCCACCGGGGAGGCCCTCCTTTAATTTCTTTTAATGATGTTCTGATTTTCTCTCAAAGTCTTATACATATTTATCTGACTTTATTCCTAAATTTGATTTTAAAGAGCAGGGGGCGGAGAAGGAATTACCATCAACTAAAGGAGAAATGAGCTATTTTAGCCAAATGCAATGTCTGAATTCTGCTTCAAAGAAATCAAGGGTGACTTCATCTTTTTAACAATGGAGGGACATCAGACATGGATGGGAACAGTTGATATTAGGGAATGATGGTTACTATTGTTAGGTATGATAATTTTTAACAGGTCCTTCTATTTTCAAAATACTGACTGAAGGTTTAACTGAAAAGTCACATGCTGTCTAGGCTTTTTCTTAAAATACTCCTGTGTTTGCATGTGCACAGAGACACATTAAATGAGAGAGAGAGAGAGAGAGAGAATGAATATGAATGTGTGTGTGTGTGTGTGTGTGTTGGGGGTGACAGAAACCAGATTTACAGAATGGAAATAAATGATGAAAAGGGTGATGGGCATTAGTTTCTGCCTAGTTTTGTGTATGGTTCTACAATTCCATACATAATGGATAAATAACAAAGACTTAAAAGCGATAAGAAAGCAAGTGCAATGGGACATATAAAGAAATGAGTCCTACCTTATACACTGATCCAATTTCATAATCCGTGAAAAATGCAACTGATGGCTTAGCAAGAAACACTGGCGTGTCAGCGCAGCAGCTGTGGGCAGGAGATGGAGGGGGAGAGAGGCTGTTAGTTCACCCATGAGATGAAATATATGTAGCGACCGATTCATGTAAAATAAATACAGCGATTCACCAGGCCATTTGTTAGGTTTTGTAGTCTGTTAAAGCAGACTACAAAATAATTTTACAGTATGATCAAATCTTGGTGAAGATATATGTAGTTACATATTTCATTTTCTACATACATAGGAAAAACTTTAAGTTTAAACACTGACATGCTAAGGGAATTTTTAATGCAGGTGCTGCTTCTCTTTGCAAATATCAGTCTTCTAATTTCTGTCAATAAAAAGAGAATTTGTTGAATAATAAATGTTAACGGCTTAAAGGCTATTAAAATTATGCATGTCTGAAGCAGCTCAAACCCTTCTTTTTTTTTTTTAAAGAAATCTTTTTTTTTTTTTTGAAGATTTTTTTATTTATACAAGCACTGGGTACAGTCAGAAGCACGGGAGGGTGTGAGAATTCACCAGAGCCAAAGCAGGGAACAGAACAGGCAGACTGAAGAAATACACTGCTGAGGGGAGCAGCAGGAGGCAGGAGAGGTCTGCGCGCCATGTGGGACCCTCGCCCAGTGGCCGGGGATCGAACCGGTGCTGCAGACTCTGCGGGCAGCTTCGCAGCCCAGCACTCAACAGCTGCGCCACCAGGGGAGGCCCTCAAACCCTTCTTAAGGACAATCCCTGAAATATTGCCAAAGGCACACACCTAAGGCAAAATCACAATTAATTATTTGCAAGCACATTTTTGACATTTGTATTATCCAAGGCATATGAATCCAAGGGAAGGGACACTTGGCCAAAGAGATTCCTTCCATTTCACCCAGAGTGTTTGGATTTGTAAACCATGGGCCAACCCCACTCCTCAAGACCCTAACAGGGCAGGAAAGCACAAGCCCAGGACTCTGGGGGATGCCTACAGGACTATGGGGGTCCCTGAAGCCCTACCCTGCTCTGATACTGTCACCCTGCCCCCACCCCAAAAGTCTAGAATCTTCCATATGCTAGAGCCTACCCAGGACCCTCTGGGCTTTACTCTAAGGGTCAGATTTTCCAAGAATACGAGTCAGGGGAAAACACACCTCTGGCCCCGGTCCACATTCTGGCATGTTCCCCTCAGTGCTGGCAGCTTTGGAGGAAAGAGAAGAGACTTGCCCCCATTCTGAGTGTTAGGAGGGAAAAAACGAGGGTTTTTCAGGAAGTGGTTCCGACTCTCCATTCTGGCAAGCAGAAGTCGCTCCAGCTCTCTCTGGGGCATACGTAAGTGATTCATCCAGTTTTTATTCTTTGGTGGACCTGCCTTTTTGGAAATAAAAAAAGTTATGTGAAGCACCAAAAGCGCTAAACAGACAGGTAAGATCTTTAAAAATAAAAAAAAGTCCAGAGTTGGTGACAGATGGAGGGACCACGTGTGCTGACACCTTGGCCAACAGCACGACGCACAGCTGGCCACGCAAACGCTCTCTTCTGCCGTGGAGTCATCACAACTACTGTGTCACTTGAACTCCTGCCCCTCACCACCTCCCTCACTCAATATCCACATACACCGCTGAGCACAGGCCTCAACGCTCACCTTGACAGTTTCCTTGGTACTGACTTTGACCTTTGAAGGCAAGTCCCACGTCAGGCTGTCCAGAGTGTAGTCTGACTCTTCTAACTTAGGGAGCAGCTTCTTGCAAGAAGGTCCAGCCTTCTTGGTCAGCTCTTGCTTTGGGACGGCATGCATCTCACAACTAAATGTCATTTTTTTACATCTCGGGTCAAAGTTGCCTGCAGTACCAGAGACAAAATGAGTGGCCACACCACAGCGGGGAGGTGAACGAACGTTCCTGAGAGGACTAAAGAAAACCACCAGAGCCACACCTAGCTTATAATTTTTTTCTGACATTTTACATTCACTGCATCGGATGTAATAGCTCATTGGCATATAAATTACTTCTGGACTTATTCTGTGCACTGGACACTTAAAGCTCAAGTGTTAAAATGTTTGCTCAGTTGTTGAACATGGTAAAAAAAAAACATGAGATCGTTGTCACACACACAAGCATGTATGTGCACATGGCCCAAGTGAATGCACTTTAAAATAACTTTTTTTTTAAAGATTCATTTATGCATATAAGAACTGGGATGTAGGCCAGAGACACAGGGGGTGCGAGGACCCACCAAAGACAGAGTGGGGAGCAGAACAGGCAGATCTACCGAAATACACTGCTGAGGGGAGCAGCAGGAGAGACAGGTCTGCTGCACCATGTGGGTTAGCCCTCCGGCTGGGGAGCAAACCCATGTTGCAGTGGCTGGCGACAGCTTGACAGCACAGTGGCCCCAACCCCTGCACCACTAGGGAGGCCCCCTGGATGCACTTTTTTTTAGCTTCTTTTTTTTTTTTTTTTTTTTTTTTTATAGAGGCATGCTTTATTTATTTGTTTGCTGGTTTGTTTGTTTGTTTTGTTTATACATGCACTGGGTACAGTCAGAAGCGCGGGAGGGCGAGAGAATTCACCAGAGCCAGAGCGGGGAGCAGAGCAGGCAGAAGGACCAAAGTACACTGCTGAGGGGAGCAGCGGGCGGCAGGAGAGGTCTGCGCGCCATGTGGGACCCTCCTCTGGTGGCCGGGGAGCAGCCGGGGATCGAACCGGCGCCGCAGAGGCCGCGCGCAGCTTCGCAACCCAGCGCTCAACCGCTGCGCCACCGGGGAGGCCCTGGATGCACTTTTTAAAATGCACACACAGGAATCAAAGATGTAGCTTTTTACACCTACATCATCATTCCCAAAAGGTGAAATGAGAACATTCATTGCTAGGGATGCAATGATACAGGAACCACCACACATTTCTTAGCACAATGGCGGGTGTGCCATCAGTGCATGTTACCTCCAGTCTTACTGATCTGCATAAGATCGTGCAATTCCAACCTTAAGAACAGCCAGTGGTAAATGACTAGTATCCCAGGGTACTTGCTTCTGCTACCACTTTCTGGCCTTTTCTTTGTGGCTCAGGTTGTCAGTGGAAATCTTTCCCAATCAGCACCCTCAATTCTCTGGACCCCAATCCTCCCACCCCAAATGCCTCTCAGTTCCAATACCCAGAGATCTTCCAAGAGTCACCACCATTGGGGTTGCTGGAGAGCTTGTCTTCTGAGCCTGGCATTGCAAGTCCATACTGATTTGGGTGACAAGATGCACAGAGACACTTCCAAAGATCTCCCTCCTTATTTAAGCCCCAACACGACTCCCATCCCACTCTTTCTCTAATCTTGCCTCCCATATGACAGAAAACTGGCCAGAGCACAGAACATACGTCTTTCTTTACCTCCTGATTGAGCATCCCCTCTGTACCTGAAGGGCAGAAAGCCCTCTTTCCCTGCACAGGGGATGGGAAGGCCCCTAGGGCCATGTTCTGACACCATTAGGAACTAGTTCTCTTGCTGATCTAGGTCTGCAGACCCTCCCTCTCTTGGTCATTCAACTCCTTCTTGAAACATTTTCATACCTCTTGATCTTGGGCAACTGACAATGTTGAGTCGTGGAAACTTTTGGCCTGCAGGTGGTAGGGAGCTAGTGAGGAAGTGGTACGCTCAGAGTTGACCCTCCCAACAGTCACTATCAGAATGAAGGGAAAAAGAAATGTATGACCCAGGGAGAGGCAGCAAAGGGGGTTGAAGTGGTTCTGCTACTACAGAACTTCCCTGGAATGTTACGAGACTCACAAAGAACATGGAAGCAATACCTTTTGGTGCCGAGCAGAAGGGTGCTGGGTCACTGTAGTAATCATCTGGGCAGATCAAGTGATGCTTCTGTAGCAACTCATTGTCCACACACCATCTGAAGATAGATTTCACTACGCAAAAGGGAATGAGGACAAGCGTTTCCAACCAGGCTGATGCTGAAGCACCTGCACCCACACTTTCTTTCATCCTCTGAGCCTAAACCATCTAACAAAATTCTTTCTCAAAACGCTGGTAATTGAGATTTAAGTAACTTATTAGCAAATGTTTACTTGTCATTTCAAAGAAGCCTCCCCTTGGACAAGGCTGTGTTGTGAGATTATTTGAGGTAAAACATTGTTATTGACACAGAGAGGTATGTAACAAAACAATTAAGAGAAGCATGGCCGGCTGAACAAATGGCCCCAATTCTTTACCTTATCATTCCCTTACTCTTTACCATGTGACTAGAAGCTCCTGCTAAGAGAATGAGGGTGCACTTCTTTACCCTTGACTTTGGCCATGTGATGGACTTTGACCATTGAGAAACTGCAGGGGCTTGAAATGTGCTTGTGTGACTGAGCTTTCCCTCTTGGGCCTTTGCCATCACTGTGAGAGACTCATGGGCCTGAGAAGCATTCCGACCATCCTGGACTCCAGCATGAACTCACAAGGAACAGACTGTTGCCCAACCTGCAGCATGGAGTCAAGGTCAGCTGGAGCCACAACTCAACACCAGCCTAGTCAGCAAACCCCCAACTGATCTACCAGCACGCGCGCGAGAGAAAACCTGTTAACAGAGTGGGAAGTCAATCATTAATATCTATAGCTGATGAGCCAAGAAATAGTAGAAAAGACCTATTATTTAGAGGTATCCAGGTGAATTAAAGCTAGAAATGACCCCCTTTGGAAAATGAACTGATGTTGAGAGAGGGAAGGTGGAAAATTTTTTTCAATTAGACGTCATTTTTGAGAGCAATTTTAGATTTGAAGCAAATTTGAGAAAATACAGAGATTTCCCATTGCCCCCTACCTCACATACCATTAGCATCAACCCTCATCAGTGTCCCCCAATGGCGGTACACTTGTTACCCTTGATGATCTCACACTGACAAGCTACCACCCAAAGTCAATCCTTTACGGTATGGCTCACTCTTGGTGCAGTCTATGGATTTGGACAAATTCATAATGACATGTACAGGAGGCCTTTTATACTTCATGAGAAATTTTTCTGAACTCTTAGACTTTTTAAAACCATGTAAATTAATAACTTGATAAAAATTAAGAAACATATGGGGTGAATGGAAAGTTCTGGAAGTTTTCAGACTTTGTGGCTTGCTCCATTAACCAACATGATCTTACCCTTTGGAGGAGGCTCCCTGAAACAAAGGGGATAGATAAGACAAGGGAAGACTACATGTTTCTCCCATCATATCTGTTAATTTAGAAATCTGGGGGTTTGGCCCAGTTATTATGATAGTCAGGGTTCAGTGAGGAGAAGAGAAGTCACTCCACAGACTCCAAAGGTTTGAATGCAGGGGATTGCAGACTGGGAGGGAGCAGCTCAGGCAAGTCATCGTCAACAGCTCCAGCGAGCAGCGCTGAGGCAGGGAGCACTGGAAAAGTGATCAGAAGTTCCCGTGAATCCTGCAGCTGCTCTATCATCTGCCTACTACTGCTTCTTGAGAATAGTGACCTCCTGTTCCAAAGCTCACCATGAGCCTCCCGTGCTGGAACCATGGAGGACAGGTGCATTCTGGAAAACACAGTCCCTGGTCTCTCCCTTGCAATGCAGACATCCAGCAGGGAGTGGCAGCAATGCCAGGCAGAGACAACAAAGCCCAGTTCCCAAGGACTCTGGTGAGGGCCTATTTGAAATATTAAAAAATAAGATAAAACTTCCATAGAGAGGGCAAAGAGCACATGGCAGGATGCATCCTCTCTGTTGATACCATTCTGGCAACAGTCCTCTCCACAGAGGCAGGTGGGTGCTGGGCCCGCAGAAGCAGGGGGCCGCTTATTTATCAGATCCTTGGAAATTCCTGGTCTAGTGACCATCTTCCTCCACTTGGGAAAGGTCGACTTCCTACACCGACCCTACGCTCCTGAGCATGGCTCTAGAGGGTTGACTGATTCATTCCCCAAAAGATAACGTGGGCGAGTTATCAGCAAGGAAATGGAATGAAGGCACAAGATGTTCTGCAGAATTTTAATCTTTCTCCCACTATTTTGGGAATTTACATGTTTTCCACCTTGTGACATCTGTATTTGCAAACAGAGAAAGGCCACCTATGTGTCCCCAGTAAGAAGTTTCAGGGCAATGTCCTCAATACCAATTCTTTAAGTCATAAAAGACATTCTTGGGTCACCTTGCGTGGTGCTGAGAGACAAGGACCAGAGCAGTGTGTCCATGGAAGTGTAGGAAGAGCTCTGCTTCTGCTACTTTTGAAATAAAAGAAACCTTTCCAGAATAAGGCTGAGAAACCAGGGCAGAAGATATCTGATTGTAGCTTAATACTGTCCTGGGAACAAAATGAAATGAAGGCCATCAAAAAAAAAAAAAAAAAAAAAAACCACCTGAGTGGTGTTTGTTTTCATGTTCTCCATGTTTCATCTTTAAAAAACTGTCCGATCATCCCGACCTCTAGTCAAAAAAAAAAAAAAAAAAATCTTATGAAAGGCAGGGTGGGTATTTGACTTCCAAGGATATCAGGTCACCAATAAAACCTCCTAAGAATCTGCTACCAAGAACGGCTGCCTAGGGCCTCCCCTGGTGGCACAGCGGTTGAGCACTGGGTTACAAGGCTGCCCGCAGCCTCTGCAGCGCCAGTTCGATCCCCGGCCACTGGCGAGGGTCCCACAAAAAAATAAATAAATAAAAATAAAAGAATGGCTGCCTAAATCCATATTTGAGGGTAGGGTCCTGGCAGCTACATGAATCTGCTGCAGGGAAGCTGGGGGGGGGGGCGAGGGCGGGAAAAGATATGGAGTTGACACTGACTGTTCACTAACAGGACCTGAACCTCAGGGGTGGCAGGCCTGACTCACATTCAGAGCCATACCCTAAGGGAAGTCACCTACACCATGGGACACTGCTGGTCAACAGCCCCTGCTCCTCCTAGAAGAAGGATGAGGTGTGTCTTGACAGCAGACACATTCAAGATCAAATCTGGGCCCCTCCGCTCTCAGGGCTGTGGGAAATTAGGGACGTTAATTGATCTTCTAGGTGTAGTTCCCGCACCTAGAAAATGGAGAGAAAATCTACCTCACAGGCCAAGTGGAAAGATCTAGTGGAATAACCTCTGCCAAGCATCCGACACAGCATCTGGCCTCTGGCAGGACCCTGCAAAATTGCAATACTTTCCCCCGTCACTCTCTCTTCCACTTCTCCCTTGAAGACACACATTTGTCAAGTCTCCCAACCCTAAAAGCTCTGCACTTCTGTCTACTGCACTGGAAATACCGATTTTCAGGGATGCAGGAGGACAGAGAAAAGTCATTGGGGGGAGTAAAAAGAACCAGGGCATTTTCAAGAAATAGTTAATTCTAGGTCTGCAGCAATAAACACATGAGATGCACCTGGAACATCTTACCATTACTGTTCACCAGAAATTACGGAGGTTAAGCATCATCTTTTAAATAACCAATGGATCAAAGAAGAAATCACACGGGAAATTAGAAAATACATTTGAATGAAAATAAAAATACAGTATACCAAAGCTGGAGACACAGTGAAAGTGGTGCTAAGAGGGAACTTTATAAACACTTATATTAAAAAACAAAAAAGATTGCAGGTCAACAAACTAACTTTAGAATTTAAGGAGCTAGCCCTGCCTCGCCCGCTGCTCCTCTCAGCAGTGTACTTCGGTCAATCTGCCTGTTCTGTTCCCCACTCTGTCTCTGGTGAATCCTCTTACCCCACCCCCACCTCTGGCCTATACCCCAGTTCTTATATGCATCTTAAAAAAAAAAAGAACACAGTAAATCTAAACTTACTTCCCTCCTTCTAAGTACCATCAACAGATGAATGTATAAAGATTTGGTATTTATGTACAATGGAATACTACTCAGCAGTGAAAAAGAAATCTTGCCATTTGCTACAACATGCATGGAAGTTGAGGGTATTATGCTAAGTGAAATAAGTCTGATATAAAGACTAAGATCATGTAATTCTACTAACATGTTAATAAAAACAAACAAAAGCAAATTCTTAGATACAGAGAACAGGTTCCCAGAGGGGAAGTGGGTTGGGGAGTGGATGAAATGGATAGAGTGTAGGGTAAGGAAAAATATCAGGCTTTTCTGCCATCAGGATAGATGAGGGAACCCTGTGGTCCTGAATGCATGCCTGATGGCGGGCACCTGGAGTGGGTACACCTGGGCTAAGACTGGGCTTTTAAGGGCGGCGTTACGGGGACGCCAGGAGAAGACAAAGCAGAAGCCGAAAGAGAAGCCGAGAAAGAAGCCGAGAAAGAAGCCGAGAACACCAGAGAGCCCAGAGAGAGTGAAGATTTGCTGGGGGCTGGGAGGACTGCCAGCCTCCCAGCCCCCCAGCACTCCTGCCTGCCACGTACCCGCTAAGTCCCAATAAAAGACCTGCAAAAAAATACTGAGGACTCTGACTGCTCCTTTACCCGGTCTGCATGGGATCAGAAAACCTGCACTGTGGCCATTCCTGCCCCTACAAAGAGTTAATTGTACAGTGGTGGAGTAAAAACTAGACTTTTGGTAGTGAGCATTGTAGGGTAAGTAAAGTATCAGGCTTTTCTGCCCTCCCGCCATCAGGATAGATGATGGATCCTTGCGGTCCTGAATGCATGCCTGATGGCGGGCACCTGGAGTAGGGTGTGGGCATATGCAGATGGGATTCACCTGGGCTCATACTGCCCTTACAAGGGCGTTGTCACAGGGACGCCAGGAGAGCAGAGAACCACAAGGAACAGAGAGCAAAGGAGGAGAGACCACCAGAGAATGCTGGAAAGCCCAGAAAAAGTGAAGACTTGCTGCCAGCCTCCCAGCCCCCCTGCCTGCCATGTACCTGGTAAATCCCAATAAAAGCCTGCAAAAGCCACTGAGGGCTCCCCTCCTTCACCCATCTGCTGGACTCATAGAAAACCTGCCCTGTGCCTCCTGCCCCTACAATCATGAAGCAATAATTTATACAGAAATCAAATTTTAATGCTGTATACCTGAAACTGACATGTTATAAGCCAATATTACTTCAATAAATATTTTTTTTTAAAAACAACAAAGTAAAAAACTACTTCTAAGAAATTGCTAAGAGCATTTGCCATATTATAAACTATGGCCAGAAAAAAAACAAAATACCGAAGTCACAAGGTACTTTCTATTAGAAACAAAAAGGGCTTGAACAGACATTTCTTCAAAGAAGATAAATAAATCAGCATATGAAAAGAGGCTCAATGTCATTTGTCAGGAGGAAGTCGAATCAAAATGATGAGATACTGCTTAACCCATTAGGATGACAACTATCAAAAAATGTCAGTAAGGGTATAGAGATGTTGACATCTTTTGCATCGTTGGTAGGAATATAAAAATGGTACAGCTGCTATGGAAAAGAGTATGGCAGGTTTTGAAAAAATTAAAAGTAGAACTACCACAATGTACAAGATTCGGGGACCCATTCCAGTGTGAGTGTATGGAAGATTCTCCACATCAAGTAATCCGCAGACACTGGCAAGGTACCTGAGAACACAATTCTGACACTACCTACCCAGAGACAGCCTCGGGTTCCACAGGTCAAGGGCTCCGTCTCCGGAGCCTGCCCTCCACTTGAGACACCACCCGCGGGGCCTATGGTTCTCACTTATCAACTTGGGTTCCTTTAATTTGTTAAAGCAGCTCACAGAACTCAGGAAATTCAGTTACTCATAGATCACTAATTTATTACAAAGGATGCATTTCAGGACAGCCAGGTGGAACAGATCTATAGGGCAAGCTATGGGGAAAAGGAGCGGCGCCTCCGCGCCCGCCCCAGGTGTGCTGTACTAACCAAATCTCCACGTGTTCATGAACCCAGCCGCCAAAGCCTCTCCTTTTGGGTTTCTACAGAGGCCTCATTACCTAGGCACGACTGATTAAATCACTGGCCTTAACTATTGATGGCAACCTCTTGCCCCTCCCCCTCCCAGAAAAGCATGTTGGTTTCCCTGGCAACCAAACCCTGTCCTCAGGTGTTTCCCCACAGTTACCTTTTTAACAAAACAAGAGACACTTTTATTACTCTCATCACTTCGGAAAGGGCTTTGTGAGCTGTAGGTCAGGAACATGGAATGTCAAATATGTATGAGAAATACATTTTGGTCATATGAATGGCCAAATACCTGCTTTTTATAAATCACAATTTTGCACATGTAATCCAGAAATTAAATTTCTGTGTCTATACCCCCAAAGAATTGAAAGTGAGGTCTTGGGGAGAAATTTGCGTACCCTTTTCACACATCATTATTCACAATGACTAACTCATGGAAGCAACCCACATTTCTATCAACAGAAGGATAAGCAAAATGCAGCATACATACACATACAATGGAATATTATTCAGCATTTAAAAAGGAAATTCTGCAATATGCTACAACATGGGAGAAACTTGAGGACATCCAGCTAAGTAAAATAAGCCAATCTCAAAATGCTTTATGAGTCCACTTATACAAGACACTTAAAGTCATTAAAATCAAGAAGAAATTAGAATGATAGTTGCCAGGGGGTGTAGGAAAGAATAGGGGGTTACTATTTACTAGGTAAAGATTTTGTTTTACTGAGTGATGAAAACATTTGGTAGACATGCTGGTGGAGACGGATGGAAGTGATGGTTGTTCAACATTATGAATGCATCGAACCATTGAACTTTACACTTAAGTGGTTAAGGTGGTAAATTTTATGTTATGCATATTTTGCCACCAAAAAAGATGGAAAAAATTGTCAAGAACATGAAAGACAGGAAAAGATTGAGGACTTATTCCAAACAACTGAGTCTGAAAAAGAGACATAACAATTACACATCATGGCTTCCGCTTCCTAGACAGGATTCTGGACAAGAAAGGAGAAAGCTGCTGTGGGACAGTGGGCAAAATGCAGGTTAGTGTTGTGCCAATTCTGCTTTCCTGGAGGGCTGGTTTTTAAGGGAGTGTTCCTGTTTTGGAGACACACACACACTGCAGTGTTTTGTGGTAATGGGACATCATGTCGGAAACTTGCTCCCCAAAAGAACCGAGAGCAGGCAATGAAGCAAATACAGTAATATAGTAACACTTGGGGCACCAGGGTGCAGGGCACCCATACGTACCTGGAGGCATTTCAAACGACGCAGTGGCCTCTAGTTGGATCTGCCGTGTGACCCGCTCTCTCTCCGCCAGGTCCCTGGCTCGAGCTTCAATGATGTGTCTTTCCAACATCTCAGCCTCATCCAGGCGCTGCTTATAGAGCTCCCGAATCTGGTAGGTGGATGATCAATTGCACGGAAACAGTGAGATCGGGTAGCTTTACACAACCCCACCCCAGCTTCTGGGCTTCCACTGAAGCATGAGAGAACAGTCACAGAACAGATGTAGAAACAGACCACAGAGGGAGAAAGCTTAGAGGTTTCATAGGAAAGGCCATAACAGCCAAGCCTGAAAGTCTCCAGACTCCAGGTTGCAAACCCTGAAATACCACACACAAGTTAGCACGCCACGGGTGGGAGACAAGAGTTGTGCCACGCAGATCCCTCTCCAAAGAATGACTTGCTACCCAGCTGCCGGGAGTACAGCGAATGGACCACAGCTGCCAACCCTCTCAGAATCTACCTGAGTGGCTTGAAAGGGCTCACCTGAGACTCACTTTAAGGTTGTTTTCCTTTTTCTACAAATGAGGACGCAGAGCTGCTGTTCCAGAGACTGGGCATGCCCTCTAAAATCCGGACATGAGAGCCGTGGTCGAGATTGTGGTTTGTGACACAAAGGCAGGCACCCAAAAGTGGGGTGACTTTCAGTGTTATGTCCAGGGAACAGCGACTAGCTATCTGCCCAGGCCGTATATGTGCAATATATCATGGGGGCGGGGTGGGGTGGGGTGTGTGTGTGTGTGGGCTTAAGGCTAGCGAGGTGCTACAGATTTGTGGGGAGATGCATTTGTGTGTGTTGGGGGCGCACGCGTAGCGTCCTTCCACTAGAACATCTGTGACACCGCCGCATGGACGGGCACTGCATCTGGCAACCGATAAGCGCTGCCATTTGCCGAGCGGCTGAGTTCCGAGGGAGTAGCTTTCCCTGGGGTGCTCTGGGTTCCCCTGAAAGGTCAGCTAGTGCGACGCCACCTCGAGCGCGCGGGCAGCGGGGAGCCCGTTACCTGCTGCAGCTCGTCCACGAACTTTTCGTGGCGCACATCCTCGCTGCCGCGGGCCTTGATCAAGTTGGCGCTCACCTCTTCGCCGATGACCTCGGCAGTGTACAAGCCGCGGAAGACGCCCGTGAGCAAGTGGGCGATGTCCTGGGTGCGCAACGAGGTGGGGCGCAGACGCAGCAGGTGCGGCTCGGGCAGCGGCGCGAGGCGGCCGGGCCGGCCCCGGAGGCCACCGTGGAAGGCGGCGGGGTGGGCGAGGGGGCACAGCCAGGGTGGCTGGCGAGGGCTGCGGGGCCGGGCCGGGCGCGGGGTCGCCGTCCACTTGGCCCCAGCAAGCGCGCAGGACCCGGGCTCGGGAACCGGCGGCGCCTTCGGCTCGCCGGTCTCCATGGCAACTGAGAAGCCGCTCTCTCCCCGCCGCACTTCCTCTTCCTGCCCCGCCTCTTCCGCTTTCCCGCCCCCGGCGCGTGGGTGCCCCCCACCTGAGCACGGGCTGGCAGCTTTGGCATCACCTGTTGGCAGGTGAGCTCAGCGTTGAGGCCACGGTGGAGAGAGGGGCAATTTGCAAAAGGCCAGTCTGAGTGCGAAACCTTCCTAACTACTTCCGTCCCTCCCTGCACTCACTTACCAGTTAAAGTCGCGTTTTTAATATTTATTATATAGAATTCTGTTTCAGGTCTAGGCTGCTGGAGATGCCAAAAGAAAGTGAGATAATGCTTCTGGAAAAAAAATCAAAATATTAAAACACCCATTCTAGAAACAGATGGGGGTGAGGTGTGTGTGTGTGTGTGTGTGTGTGTGTAAGTGAGAGAGACCGAGAGAGAGCTAGTGAGCTGCAGTTTAGTGGGTTACAGTCCGGGTGAGATATATGCTGGTTGTCATGGAATCACAAAGGACAGGAACATAATAAGCCTATAGAGTGAGCATAACCAGTGGCTTTTTTGAACACGGAAGACCAAGCAGAGATTTAAAAGAATGAGTTGACTACCATCATTAGTCATCACGGAAGTGGAAATTAAAACCACAATGTGATACCACGGCACTGACTTTTTTTAGTAGAAAGCCAAAAAATAAACTGAAGAAGTGAGTGTTGATTAGAATGTGGAATTAAGTTTAAATTTTCATATTATTGTGTTGGTAATATAAACTAGTATTGCAGCTCTGAAAAACAGAGTTTGTCACTTTCTTAGAAAATTACACATACAACAAACCCAATTCTAGGTATTTTACTGAAAACTTAGGTGCATGCAAAACCCTATATGCAAATATTTTGGAGATTTGTTCATAATCTCCCCAAACTGGAAAAAAAACCCAATGTCCTACCCACTGATAAAGGATAAACTGCAGTACTTCTAACAAAGGAAAACACTCCACTATAAAGAGGAAACAAACTGTTGATCCAGACAGCAGCATAGATGAATATCAAGTGAGTTATGCTAGATAAAAGAAACCATTCTCAAAAGGTTACATATATACTGAATGATTCTAATTGTAGGTTATTCTAGACAATGTGAAACAGAAAACAGGTCATGGTTGCCAGGAGTGGATGGCATGGAGTAAGAAGGCCACGAAGTGACATGTAACATGCCTGCCCTCCAGGTACCCAGCACCCCAAAATTATTTGCCCAAACACCCTAAGCCCGGGGGCAGGGTCTGTGCAGACCTATTCTTGAAAGCCTTCCTCCCGCTGCTGTCTGGTATGTCCACTAAAGCGTAGTTTTAGGGGAAGATGGGATTTGGGGGAGCTCGGGCAAGTGGGTTGTCTGGTCCAATTGTCCACACATCAGTGACACCCCCAACAGCAAAGGAAGGAACTGTGGGTGGGAAGAGAGGGGGCCGAGTGGCTGAGTTCTGAGGGAGTAGCTTTCCCTGGGGTGCTCTGGGTTCCCCTGAAAGGTCAGCTAGTGCGACGCCACCTCGAGCGCGTGGGCAGCGGGGAGCCCGTTACCTGCTGCAGCTCGTCCACGAACTTTTCGTGGCGCACTTTTCGTGGAGTCCAGGGGGCCTCCACCACTCTATTGTTAGACGCAGACCTGCACAAACCCGGTGGTCTTGTTGCTCAGAGGCAGCTCTGATTGTTGAAGACTCCCTGGCTCCCTTTCCTATCTCAGGGAAAGATAGGACAATGGAGTCTGGTGGCACTTTTGACCTCTCCTTCCTGCCTCCAAACAGCCTCTGAGAAGGTCGCAGGGAGTCTGACCCAGCCTGGGTGAGCTCACCCCCTTTTTCCCACCCTCTGGATACAGCCCCCTGTGCTCTGGATACAGCCCCCTGTGCTCCATCCAGGTCAAGGCTTCTGGAAACCCTCCAATACTTCCAGTGGCAACGGCCATACTTAGTCCTGGTCTTCCTCAACCTTTCAGCAAATCTGCTGCTGCCCATCCCCTACCCCCCTTTTTAATACTAAAAGAATAGAGGGTTTTTTTTTTTAAATTAAGCATTGTAAGTTGCATTTAATAGCCTTTAGATACCCCATACCACAACCGTCGCCAATCAAACTCAACAGCACTTGATTCTCGCACTACCCACAAGTTAGGGTGACGCTCCCTACAATTTACAGTAAGACCCTACTCAGGTCTACAGGTAGGGATTAGGGAAGTGCATCTCATTTCTGATCACTAACATGTGATGAAGAGGATCAGGAGGCTTATGAAAGCAACTAAGAAGTGATTCTGAATTCAAAGTATGTTATTTGGAGATATTAACAAAAACATCACAATAATGTAAATATACCTGCTTCTACTGAATTCTTGTTGGGCAAGTTCTCAAAAAAAAAAAAATGCAATTCTGTAACTGTTTCCTGCTACAGAAAGGAGGGTACTTTTTCTTTTCTATTTTTTTTTAGATGGAGGTTTGCTTCCCCCCACAATAGAACTCCATATTTTGCTAAAACTAAGGCATACACAGCAGCAATAATACATACAGCAGTGAGCAAATTCACAGCAGCTAGATAATTGGGGGGCCTGGAGGGCTGAGAATAAATTCAACCAAGGTCAAGAATCATAAAATTTTAAGGTCAGAGCAAGCGCAGTCAATAACTATACAGTTCCCGTTTTGCACGGGACTGGTTATTAGCATCTTTCTTTTGCAAACCCATTTCTTCTAAGGGATACACTCCTTCCCTTGCTTTCCCCTACGAAATTCCTCCCTGCCTCCCCGGCTCCACCTCCTTCTCCTATTGCTCTCTCTCTCTCTGCCAGATAAGCTGAATTCACCCCTCACTCTGCCCAGCATTCAACTTCTGTTTGCTCTCTGACTAACCAAATAATGGATGGTTCACACCGTGCACCACGTAACACAGGGCTTAGCCCCCGGGACCCACTAGGAAGCAAGAGGGCATGTCTTGAGCCTCCCCACTGTATGACCAACCTGTTTTGCTGAACTGAATGTTTGTCTCTCGGTATCATTTTTGACCTTTCAATTTTTTTTTAACTTTTAAATTGCAAAAGTTGCATATAATCATGGTTAAAAAAAAAATCAAATGGTACATAAGGAATAAAAAATGTCCTCCTGGCTGCTCACCTGCCTGCCTGGGACTATGCAGGTGCCTCTTTTTTCTCTCTCCTTTTCTTTATTTTTATTTTTTTTAAAGATTTATTTATTTATTTATTTATGGGTACAGTGAGAAGTGCGGGAGGGGTGAGAGAATTCACCAGAGCCAGAGCAGGGAACAGAACAGACAGACTGACAAAATACACTGCTGAGGGGAGCAGCGGGCGGCAGGGGAGGTCTGTGCACCATGTGAGACCCTCGCCCAGTGACCGGGGATCGAACCGGCACTGCAGAGGCTGCGGGCAGCTTTGCAGCCCAGCGCTTAACCTCTGTGCCACCGGGGAGGCCCTCTCTCTCCTTTTCTTAATAAACCTGTCCTTTTAAATGTAAAAACAAGGTGTTCTCCTCTCAATCCCTTCGCTTTGATTATTTCCAAAGCATTCCAGCTATTTTTTTCTATCTATACAAACACTATCTATACAAACTACTAGTGTTTAGCAAATGACATTTTACTAAATTGTGCACTATATATATATATATATATATATATAAAATGTACAATATATAAAGATAGTCATATCATTTGCTTTTTTCCCCAGTTATTCTGCAGCAGCTCATAGAGGACTGAGTTTTTTCTTTTCTAACAGATGAAGGGGAACTCACTATAGGAAATATCATAATGAACTTTACTTTGTACAGTGTTTCTGTACATCAATACAGATAATATCACAGACGTAGAGAATAATAAATCAAAGATTAGAATTCTTGGCCAAAGAGTAGGTACATTTAAAAATTTGAGACATTGCCAAAGAGCCCTCCAGCAAGATCCTGGCCAAGTAGCTTTCCACAAGCATTATGTGAGAGCCTGTAGATATGATAAACATGTTTTGAAACACATTCCAAATTTTATCCCCAGCCTACCCCTCCCTCCTAAACTCTAGACTTGATGCCCATCTTGCACTTGACGCCTCGTATCTGAAAGCACTTCAGACTTAATGTGCCCAACTCAGAACACCAGTTCCTCCTCGGCCTTCCTGTTTCAGTTACTGGGGACTCCCTCCTTCTACTGGCCAAAAATGGACTCTTCTCTTTCTCTCAAAGCCCCACCAGCAAATCCTACCGGCTCTGCCATCAAAACGTACCTGGCCTACCATTTCTCAGGACCTTTACTACTCTTGTTGCAGAAATAAATTCTAGCCTTTTACCCAGGCAAGGGCAGAACAAGTGGTACTTCAGGAATGGTGAGGTCAGGAGAAGCTTCTTTACTCCTGCATGAGGGCTCAGACCTGGGTAGCCCCATAAGGTCTGAGCACCCATCTAGAGACAAAGGGTGTCTTATACATAACCACCTTACATTGATAACATTGGTCAGTGAGCACAAATATTCTTGACAAAAGGGGGAAAGATGCAGGTATCCAAGGATGGCCTGGGAGCTCAATCAGCCTGGCTGGCTGTTCGAACTTATTAAAATGTCACCTCCTTTAGATAAACTTATTAAGGAAGCAAACTTGTCATTTACACTTACTTTGCATTATTTACTGCACCAGGCCTGTGACTCTTTAGCAGAAAACAGGAAAGATTTGCTTAGCAGTTCCCTTTCACTCTCACCTGAATTATTTCAAGAGCCTCTTCACTGGGCTGGCTGCCTCGACCGTTTCTCTATGATACTTCTCCTTCCAGCAGCCAGAGTGATTCTTTAAAAAGGTGAGTCAGATCATGTGTCTCCTCGGCTTGAAATCTTCCAATTGTTCCTCGTGTCTCCTACAGTGGATGCCCTTCAAAGGCTCAACACTTGGTCCGCATTACTTCTCTGTCCTCCCCCACTGTCCCTCTCGCTCCCTCTCCCTCCTCCAGCCCCACTAGCCTCCTTGCTGGTCTCCCAACACACCTGCAATTTT